TGCCCACCCCAACACCCACTCGCCCCGCTCTGGCTGGCCCTGCACCTGCACTCTCACACAGGATTGAAAAAGCCCCAATCTCAACAGCCAGTGCCAAGCATGGCCAAGTCTCCTGCTTGAGATCTTCCTTTAGTCATTCAACAGATACTCATTCAGCACCTGCTGTGTGCTGGGGCAGGTGCTGGGGGTGAGGAGGGGGTGGAAGGCACTGACCCCCAAGGGGCAGGGGCAGCAAGAGCCAGAAACACTGGCACTTGCAGGAAACCCAGAGGAGTTCAGATTTAGTTCTCAGTACACGGGGAAGCTCTGGAGGGCTTAAAACTGAGCAGGGATACCAACAGATTTGTGTCTTCAGTTTTTTTATTATTATTATTTCTTTAAGACACAGACAGGGCTCCCATCAGCTGGGTCACTCCCCAAATGCCTGCCAATGCCCAAGGCTGGACCAGGCTGAAGCCAGGAGCCATGAACCTAATCCAGGTCTCCCACACGGGTGGCAGGGACCCAACTAGTTGAGCTGCCTCCCAAGGCGCCCATGAGCAGGCTGCTGGGATCAGGAGTGGGGTCAGGACTCAAACCCAGTTACTGCAATATGGTTTGTGGGTGTCCCAACTGGCACGGTAGCCACTAGGCCAAGGGCCCACCCCCAGGTCCATGTTTTTAGGGGACCACTCTGCTGCTTTGTGAAGAATGCACTGTTCGTCAGCTGATCGAGACCCGGTGCTGCTTCCAGAGGGCTGAGTATCTGAGGTTCTCTGCTGTCCAGTCTGGGGGCAGAAGGATGGCCCAGTTGACCTCTGCCCTTGCTCGCTAGGCAGTAGAACCTTCCGTGTCGGTGCTGCCGCCTCCTGCCATCGGCCATGCATCTGATGGCATGGACGCCAGTCGTCTGGACTGGCAGAAGAGCTGGGGAAGTCCTGGAAGCCCAGGCAGGGTCCGTGTAGGTGGCCACGTGGCCCCAGAGGAAGCCCAGAGCACCACACTAGGAGAGTCTGCCCAGCCTGCTCAGGTGGAGTTGGCCAACCTGGGACAAAATGAGCTTGACACTGAGTGGTTGCTGGGCACAGAGGCAGCAAGTGGGCCAGCCGTTCCAGAACGGGAGGGAAGCCCTCTGAGCTCACTGCACCTTGCCCTCTGTTCAGCCAGTGTGCTGCGAGAAGGAGCCCAGCCCTGTGTTCCAGTCCAGAAGTCCAAGGCCTTTCCCAGGATCGCTTCTTAGAGACAGCCTTGGTCTGGGCATGGCGCAGGAGAGCTGGCTGCAGAATCTCGTCTCCCTCAAAGGGAGAAAAAGAACACTGGTTCATAAAACGGATGACAGCTTTGTCCGCCCTGGCTGGAGCCAGAACACAGCTCCCAAGCCCACTGCACCAGCTCCTTGTGCTCTGTGGTCTCAGTTTTCTTGTCAGTGCAGAACTGGGCTCTGTGATGTCTTCCTGCGCACCTTTGCACCTGTCAGTAGGCAGGGTCTCCCCCTGCACACAGGGAGAGGGACAGTGCCCCACACTGTCCCCCCACGGTGCCCCCACACGGTGGCAGGTGTCAGGCAGGGAGGGAGGCCCCCAGCCACCCACCCAGATCAGGGCAGAGGAGCCCAGCCACCCGCGCGATGGTGGAACCTTCACTCTTGATCCAGTGCCTCTCCTACGCGGTGCCCAAGGAACCAGTCTGTGTGCTGCATTCTCACTCACGCCTGCCCCTGTCGGAGGCAGGGCTGCGGCGTCCCAGGCCAGCTCCCGCTCTGGGATCCGCTCAGTCCCCCAACAGTTAATGCAATATTTTCCCTGACTGACAACAAGCACAACACCAAAACAGCCAACTATTTTTATCTCCAGATTAATCACAAAAAGGCTAACGCTTCCACCTTCCTTGTGATTAAAAATTAGGAGACCAAACTCTGTAGTGGTTCGGGATAATAACCAATCCTCGGGGTCGGGGGTGGGAGCATGAATAATGCATCTCCAGGCTTGGCGACTTCTTCCCTCCCCGCTGCCCCAGCACTGGACTGAGTCGAGTGGAGAGGGAATGACCGCCCCCTCCCATCTGAGCTGCAGCTGCCCAGGGCTGCTGGTGATTTCTGCTCAGCCCGCAGCCCCCAGCATCCTCTCTCCTCTCCCACCCCTCCCTCGCCCCCACCCCCACTCCCCCATCTGGTGTGCAGTGAGGCGAAGGCCCATCAATAATGCATGGCTACACGAGTAAGCAGTGTGATAACCACTTATTTGGGAAGATGTAATCAGGCCCATTCTGAGGGTGGATGTTTGTGCGTGTGCGCCTGACTACTCCCCAAACACAGCGCCCTGCCCCCCTCGCCAGCACACCCTCTCATCTAGAATCCCAGAGCACTGGAGGACCGCCCACCCTGGAACCCCCTGGTGAGCTTTGGAAAGTCCCGATGGGGTGGGCACTTTGGCCTGCTGGGTTTGATTCCCGGCTGCAGCTCCTGAGTGCTGTGGCTCGGGGGTGGAGGGTGCAGCAGGTGATGGCTCAAGTAATTGGGATCCTGCCATCCCATGGGGAACACCTGGTTTGAGTGCCCAGCCTCTGGCTTCAGCCCTAGTGGTCAGGCTGTTGCAAGTATTTGGGGAGTAAACCAATGGATGGGACTTTCTCTCTAATAATTTTTTCTTTTAAATATTAAGTTCTGCTGCCCAGGGTACAACTCTAGCGATGGAGCTTTGGCTAGCTGGGGTGGCCTGGCAAAAGCCCATCTTAGGCCTAGCGACTGCCAGGGCTGGAGGGACCGGCACAGAGCTTCCCTGGGGCTGTCACACTTCCTGGGGGAACGAACGCTGCTCTCCTATCTCCCTGCTCGGATCCAAGGCGCCTTCCCTAGCCCTTCACCGCCGGGCAGGAGACGAGGCTGGGTCACAGTTCGTTCTGTTCTGAAGCTCCAAGGAGCCTTTTCCAACATTTCCAGCCCTCAGCAAGCTCAGGGAGCCTGAGCGCCTCTGCCTCCGGGGACAGAAAGGGCAGGAGCCCCAGCCCTCGGGAAGGGTGAACACAGGCCCCTTCTCCCAAAGCCCTGGCCCAGTGCAGGCAGATGAAATCCCTGTTGTCAGCAACCAGCTACACCCACCATGGATGGAAAGCCCTCATTAGCCTCCCCTGTGCTCCGCGGCCACGCCCACGCCAAGGAGGCCTGGGCACTAATGAGAGGGTACGGAGGGGGGATGCGGATGCCGGCGGGGGGTCCTCATTGTCCTGCCCAAAAGTACTACTTCCTCCAACCTGGCAGCTCCGGGGCCTCCTGGGGAGGCCTGGCTGGAGAGCACAGGGGCCGCTGGGGTTGGATGAGGCCAGCTTCCTCCCTGGGCCAGGATCCCGGGTGGAGCCGGGGCTGGCAGGGTGGAGTCAGTGATGGGGTATTGGAGGCCCCAAGGGGTTGTTTATCCTCTGGGGAAATGGCCCTGTGGCTGCGAGGGCGGGCAGGAGCAGACCTCTCCCAAGGCCAGGTGGCAAGCAGACGGGGCGACTCCCCTGAAGTTGGCTGCTGTGAAGGGGCTCTGAATCTTGGCGGAAGCCTGCAGGGGCAGGGGGAGAGGCTCGTAGGCGATACTGTGGGAGGGGGAGGCTCTGCACCATCTGCAGGGGTGAGGCTGTGCTACTGTGCTGACCAGCCCGGGGCTGCCACACTGGCGCCGTGCTTACCCCAGCCTCCAAGCCCCAGGTGCAAAAGACCCTTTGGGCTGGCTTATCTGTTGTCCGGATGCACTTTCACCCTCTCGCTGAGCACACACACAGCTCACACTTCTGTTGGGCCCCCGGGGGGTGGGGGGGCTTGAGCCCCACTCAGCCTGCAGGAAGGCCACAGGCATTCCTCAGGGGGCCTCCAGGGAGCCCTGCCCCTGCTGTGGCTTGTCCAGAGAACAGAAGCCTGAGCCCCTCAATGTGTCTGTGAGCATAAGCACTGTAGGGCTGTGTGTTCTTAGGCAAGTTACTTGGCCTCTCTGGACCTTTTTCTTTTTTTTGAAAGAGGTCATCCATCCACTGGTTCACTCTCTAAATGGCCGCAGCAGCCAGAGCTGGGCTGATCCTAAGCCAAGAGCCAGGAGCTTTTTTTGGGTCTCCCATGTGGGTGCAGGAGCCCAAGCACTTGGACCATCTTCTACTGCTTTCCCAGGCCACAGCAGAGAGCTGGATCAGAAGTGGAGCAGCCAGGACTCAAACCGGCGCCCTTATGGGATGCTGGCACTGCAGGCAGCAGCTTTACCTGCTACGCCACAGCACCAGCCCCTCTCTGGGCCTCTTTGTAACCAATGCTCACCCACCATCCTAACTGCCAGTCCCATGGCCAGTCTTGGGATCGTTGTGGGGCCTCCACTGGGACAGTCAGTGTCTGTGGAGCTCTGTGCCGGGCACTGTGGGGCCACGCTCCAGGTACTGAACTGCCCGCCCTTCCTGTCACTACAGATCCCTGGGCAGGAGCCGCGGGTCCCCAGCCACACTGCAGAATACAGTGGGAAAGCGCGGGCGGAGTCGCTGGAGCTGCTGGAGAGGAATAAAGCTGCCTTGGCCTGGAGGGGCTGCCCTGTCCCCTGCCAAGTGTCAGAGGCCTGGCTTGCCGCTCTGGCTTGCCTCCCGCTCACCGAGGGACCTGGAACAAGTCCCTTTCTTGGTGCACCTCAGTTTCCGGAACTGTGCAATTGGGATAATAGTAATGTTTACCTGGGATTAAATCAGCCAGCAGATGTGAGATGTGACAGTGCTTTGTTGAAAAAAAAAAAAAAAAAGTTGAAACGGAAGAAACTGCAGATCCTGTCTGGGTGGGAGAGTGGCGCCTGCCTGGTGTCCTCCCCGCCTTGTCCTGAACAGGAGGGAGCAAATGACAGGACCTTGTTGGCCCCCAGACAACAGGGACACGTGTGTGAGGGATTACTGCTTGTGCTGCTGCTGTCGTCATAGCACAGGGAATTCTGCATTTTATGAAGCACGTCCACCGCTGTCTGCCACCAACCCTGCCCAGCCTGCCACCCCCGCCTGACCCCTCGCTCTCTCTGCAGTGCCACCCGATGACCCCGTCATCCTGGGAGGGCCGGTGATCAGCCTGCGGGCGGGTGACCCCCTCAACCTCACCTGCCACGCAGACAACGCCAAGCCGGCCGCCTCCATCATCTGGCTTCGAAAGGGCGAGGTCATCAACGGGGCCACCTACTCCAAGGTGAGGGGGTGGGGTGGGGGTGGGGGTGGGGGAGGGGAGGCTCTCCCTCTGTCCCCTGCAGGCCTTTCTGTTACATTTCCCTTCTCTTACTCCTCGTCTCTGCATCTTTCTCTCTCTGTCCCTTTTTCTGTCTCCTGCCATGACTCTCCCACTAGTTGTCCGACTAGCCTTCTTAAAAAGCTGTTTGTTTCCTGGAGAGACAGAGAGGTCTTCCATGTCCTGGTTCCCTCCTCAAATGTCTGCAACAACCAGGGCTGCGCCAGGCCAAAACCAGGAGCTGACAACTCAACCTGGGGCTCCCACAAGGATGACAGGGATCCAACGAATTGAGCCATCCCTGCTGCCTCCCAGGAGGCACATTAGCAGGACGCTGGGGTCAGGAGTGGAGCCGGGACTCGAACCCAGGCACTCCACTGTGGGATTCCAGCGTTCCAAGGGGTGTCTTAACTGGTGCACCAAACGCCCACCCCCATCCTGTCTGTCTGTCTTTTTTTTTTTTTTGTTTTGTGTGACAGGCAGAGTGGACAGTGAGAGAGAGAGAGACAGAGAGAAAGGTCTCCCTTTGCCGTTGGTTCACCCTCCAATGGCCGCCATGGCCGGCGTGCTGCGGCCGGCGTACCGCGCTGATCTGATGGCAGGAGCCAGGTGCTTATCCTGGTCTCCCATGGGGTGCAGGGCCCAAGCACTTGGGCCATCCTCCACTGCACTCCCGGGCCACAGCAGAGAGCTGGCCTGGAAGAGGGGCAACCGGGACAGAATCCGGCGCCCCGACCAGGACTAGAACCCGGTGTGCTGGCGCCGCAAGGCGGAGGATTAACCTACTGAGCCGCGGTGCCGGCCCCCATCCTGTTTTTCTTTACCAAATCTGGGGAGCTTTCCAGAGCTATCAGGTGAGGTTGTTTATTCTGCCCTTCCCCATGTGCCTGGGCTAGGGGCCAGGACTTGCCAAGTGCTTATGGTATCCAGCCCATAAGCACTTGGCAAGTCCTGGGCTCTGCCGTGCCCACCCACAGGAGAGCTTTTCTAATTCTCACAAGGTACCATGGGCTTCACGTGCCCTGAACTGGCCCTTGTGTTGATCATGTTTTATGTGTTCTGTATTTTCCAAGGCTTTGACATCTTGGGGCCTTGTAGAGCCAAAAAGGGACTGCACCCCCAGGGTCCGTGAAGCCCGGAGGCCGGGACACCATGTGCCCAGTGCACGCCTTTCATACACAGAGCCCTGACTCAGAGCCCACACCCCAGCTGCCTCCCTGTATCAGCTGCCTCACTCCAGGACACCTCCCGTGCTCGGCACCTCCCCAGGGCTAGGGGTCAGACAGCTGTGGACCACCCCACAGCCCACTGACAACAGCTGTCTGATCCCACCCTGTTCAGCTGCCTGCCCCTCGTTCCTTCCCTGTCCAACCACCGTAAAGGCCCTGCCCTTGTCTCCCTCACTCCCTCTGCCCACCTCTCCCCCCCCCACCCCATGTGGCCATCAGTGGCCTGCTGAGCGCCTCCTCCAGGAACTGTGAGTATCAAATCTTAGAGCCTCACCATCTAATCGGTATCCTCACCAAAGCTGGATGAAAACAGAAGCCAGGGTGCACCTTGAAGCAGCCTCCCAGGGCTGCCCCCAGGGAGGTTGTGCACAGGCCTGGAACAGACGTGAGAGCTACAGGGACCTTGGAGGAAGGCTTGTCCCGTCTCTTGTGTCTACAGCAGAACTGGGGGAAGCAGTTGCCCTGAGCTGTCAGCGGGCACCACTGGGGCTGGCACTGTAGCTTCATGCGCCCCATCCTGTCTCTTTCCTGTGCTCCTCCCATTGCTCAGACAATGGGTAGCCGCCACATGAGCTCTGAGCTGCAGCTGGGCCAGGGGAACACAGTCCCTGGGTGCTGAAACTGGGGTTCCAAGCCCCCAGAACCCTCCTCTCCCCAGCTCTCCTGGGCTTCAGAGAGTGGGGCAGTGTATAACCTGTCCCCCAGTCTTCACCCACCACTGGCTCTTCTTCCAGGACCCTGGAAAGCTAAGCCAGACCTTTGCTCTCAGAGCTTGGCCCCCACCCAGAGCCCAGGGCAAACTCCCTCCCTTTCTTCTGCAGGAATCCAGGTGGGGTTAGGGGAGCAGCCTTGGGAGACAGATTCTTGGCTGGCATCCAGGACTGGAGCCAGGCGGTGCTGTTATGAACTGCAGACAGAAGACCCAGGGAGTAGCCATCCAGAGACAGTGAAAGGGGAGGGAAGTGTTCTCCTCCCAGGCAGGTGCCTATCTAGCCCCTCCCTGAAACTAGGCCACCCTAGGCCCTGCCCAGAGTTACATCCTGCAGAGCACATGGTATGACTCATCTGGTGAGAGGTCAAGGTCACCCTACAGGACCTGTCCCAGGGCCACCTGGACCCCAGCATGGTGTCCCCAGCCTACTGTGAAGGCCCCTGAGGGAAACTGCATGGAGCCACTGGAGACCAGGAGGGGGCCCTCTGCCCTCCACTCCCAAGGGCCACTGGGGAACCCCGGCCCCTTCCCCTGGGGAAGAAGACAGGCAGACAAAGTGCCCTCTAGCCCTCCGCGACCCCGTGCAGGCTGGCCATGCCTCTGAGACGTGCTGCCCTGGTGGCCTGGGTGTCGGCGTGAGCGCCGTTGTTGGGCGGGGCCCTTGGCACTGCTCACCGGGGACTTCCAGGGGAGTGTCTGGCTGCAGAAGCCCTGGGCCGAGGCAAGGCCTCTCTGGAGGTCTCCTGGGCACATGGCCATGGGAGCACAACTGAGCTCCTCTCTTGTTCCTCTGGCTTCTCAGGGCCAGACACCACAGTGGAGGCCACAAGGCATTCGTCTGAGAAACCAGAGACCTAAAAGCCGGCAAGAAAGCCTGTGTTTGGAAGAGGAGAGGAGACTATGGGCCGGACCCAGAGAGAAGCCTTCCCCAAGGGCCAGCTTCCTGGCCCCCCCGCCCCCCTCCCCCCCACTAAGCCGGGAGGAGGAGGCGGCTCTGAGCCTGGTGTGTGCAGCAGGCAGGAGGACTGCTTGGCCTTACACAGGTAGCACCTCGCAGCCCCGCCACCCCATGACCCCTCTGCCTCCTCCTCTGCACCTGCCTGGGGACCACCCTCTGGGCTCCACGGCCTCTTTTGAGCCCCTGCTCAGAGCAGCTCTGGAGAACCTGCCCCTAGGAAATGGATGGATGCCCACTCCCACGGCCACACTCCCCACTACACCCACGCCTGTCCCCTCTGTCTGGCTTAGACAGCCTCTCACTCAACCCTGGCTGTGAAGGGCACCCAGGCTGGCGCTAGGGCTCAGGCTCTGTCTGGATCCATCCCCAGGCTGCTGGAGAGGGATGAGAAAAAAATAATAATAATAAGGGACATGGGGGGGGTTGCAGAGCGGAGGCCTGGTTGCCAGGCAATCAGGCCGCTGCAGGACTGCCTAGGCTGTTTGCATAGCAATGAGCTTCCAGGGTGGGGGCACCTGCCCACCACATTCCCTCCAACCACCCATCTCAGAGGGCCCAGCCTGGCTGTCCAGTACCCAGCATGCGCTCTGCCCTCCCCGGGCCCAGCCTCCCAAACCACTGCTGGGAAACCAGAGGTGAACCCTGGCTCCTGCTTCCTGGGACAGGGTGCAGGTGTACAGGCAGGAAGCCTGTCGGATCTAGAATGAGCCAGGCCTCACAGTCACGGGAGCAGTAAGGACACAGGCCAGAAAGCAGGTGCATGCACAGAGACAAGAGAGGGACAGAAACCCACCTACGGAGAAAGATGCCCGGGTGCGCTCATTCTGGGCGCAGGACAGCAGCCCAGGGACTCGCAGGCTGAGCCTGCAGTGTCCTGTGCCCGCCACGCTGGAGGTGCCAGAGACTAGAGGCCTCCCATTACTAATTGACTCCCCAGAGCCGATTTGCACCCTAGTGACGGTTACCAAAGCAGAAGATGGGGGGGTTGGGGAGACAGTGCCCAGGGCCTGTCCCCGGAGCCCAGCTCAGTGAGGGAACAGGAGTGAGGAAAAAGGGAGGCAGGGTCATGGAGCTGGCAGAGAAGCGGAGCGGCTGGGTCAGGAATCATCCCACGGCAGAACGGTCCACCTGGACAGCACCTGCAAGGCCACCGAGTCCAGAGGCTTTGTTTTCATATGACAAAAGTGACCATCAGGGGAGATTTTTCAAAGAAGAATGAAGCAGCCGGCGCCGCCATAGCTCACTAGGCTAATCCTCTGCCTGCGGCGCCAGCACACCGGGTTCTAGTCCCAGTCGGGGCGCCGGATTCTGTCCCGATCGCTCCTCTTCCAGTCCAGCTCTCTGCTGTGGCCTGGGAGTGCAGTGGAGGATGGCCCAAGTGCTTGGGCCCTGCACCCGCATGGGAAACTAGGAGAAGCACCTGGCTCCTGGTTCCTGGCTTTGGATCAGCGCAGTGCGCCGGCCACAGCGGCCACTGGGGGGTGAACCAACGGAAAAGGAAGACCTTTCTCTCTGTCTCTCTCTCTCACTGTCCACTCTGCCTGTCAAAAAAAAAGAAGAAGAAGAAGAATGAAGCAAAAGAAATGAGAACAAAGAAAGAAAGGAGACCATCAGGAAGAAATGGGAGGTGGAGGAAAACCAGGGTACAGACAGGCGCCCCAGCCGGCCTGCCTCCCTGCCCACAGTGCTCCCTTGGGATGCTGCCCTGCCTCTGGGGTTCCCCACTCCAGGGGGCCGGGGGAAGGTGCTCAGGGCCTTCCTGGGGCATGCGGCGCCCCATGCTCTCCCTTGTTTAATAAACACATCTCCCCTTCTTCTCTAATTAGGTGGAACAAACAGTTTGAACCAGAATTTTTATTTCCCAGAAAAGCTCCCGGCCCGGACCCAGTAAATATGTCATTAGTCATTGTGGCGAGGCAGACAAGCACGTCGGATCGGGGAGGAGGGAGGCATCCGAGGGCCTAATTAGAGCCCCAGCTCCCAGCTCCCACCATCACCACCATGCCCGGGGCCCATTACCCAGAGAGACTCCTGGCAGAGTCACACTTCTGCAAATGTCCTTTGTTAGCATCCCTGGAAAAGTCCGGAACAAGAGATGGAAGGACAATGCCCGTCCCCCTCCTCCCAACCCTCCTCACCCAACTCCTTTTGTGGTACGTTAGCCCCTGGCCCTCGCCCTGTTACCTCCAAGACTGCCCCGAGGGCTGCTGGCACTGGCTACTTCCCAATCTTCCAGCACTGCTCTCGGGCCTGGCTGCGAGGCCTGGGGCCACCTCCTCCCATCATCCCCGGGAAAGAAACGGCTATGAGACCTCAGCCAACAGGGCCTGCCCGGAGCCCAGGCCCTGCCCCTGTTACAGTGGGCAAGAGAAAGCCCGGGGCCTCCACCTGCTCTGTGGCTCTCTCTAGAATGTCTAGCCTTGGCTTGCCCAAAGCGGGATACACCGATGTAGACTAAGGCTCAGCCAGGTTTACGCGGTGCTGGAGGCCACGGCAGAGAAGGACCAGAGGGCTGGCTACGTGTGGCTGGACCTCACTGGGGGCTGCTTCATTTTCCTCACCATTCCCGCACCCCCAGCATCTCGGGGAAGTGGGCAGGGTGTCATAGCTCAGGGTCGCAGCCGGCTCTGCCCAGCAAATCCCTGACTCCCTTGAGCTCAGGTTTCTCTTTTGCACAGTAGCAATAACGCCCCCTGCGCCGCAGGGCCCTGGTGAGAATTAGACCATGCTGTTGTGAGTCCACGGGAGGGTTTCAGGAAGTGGGGTCCCTTAGTCTATCCCTTCACTCCAATCAGGGCAAAACAAGACTGCATCCAGCACCCTGCCCTGGAGGGAGTTAAGTGTTTGAGGGCTGAGCCGATCCCCACCTGGAAGTGCCCCCGACCCTGCCCCTCCCAGCACACCTGCCTTAGTGCCCCAGATTGGTGGGGAGGTAGCTGAAAAGGGTGGTGGGGGCACCCGCTTCTGGATGACACTGCGGAAAAGCAACGAGGGTGGAGACCAGTGGCTGCGGGACTTGTGTCTGTTCCCAGGCCCTCGGTCACTGAGCGCTCCACCCAGGTGCTCGAGACCACAGATGTCTGCTCGCTCCGGAGGATCCTACCCTGCCTCTCCCAGCCCCTGGGGACTCCTGGCGTCCCTTGGCTTGTGGCTGCCTCACTCCAGCCTCTGCCTCCCCCTTCACACAGCCTCCTCCTCTGTCTCTTTGCTTTCTCTTAAAAAGGCTGCACAGTCTTTGAGTTGGATCCCACTGTAAATCCAGGATGATGTCATCCTGAGGTCCCTAATGGATTACTGGCAACCAGTCTGCAAAGACCTACTTTCCTATTCAAGTTCTGAGGTCCTGGGTAGACAGGAATGTGGGGGGATTACAGCTCAACCCACAACAGGGCCCTGGTATTTGCTTTACCTCCAACGAGAAGGGTGAGTGTGGTCCAGTCCTGAAGTCCCCCTCAGCCTTACCTGTCTCCTCCCATGTCAAGTGGGAGATGGCGGCACCTGTCCTGCCTACAGCTTGGTTGAGGTTCTGATGAGGTCAGAAAGTGAAATGACACGAGAAGTAGAAAGGGCTCGTATAGGGTGCCGTGGTGTAATAGGCTAAGCTTCCTCCTGCAGTGTCAGCATCCCATATGGGCGCCGGTTCCAGTCGCCTGCTGCTGTACTTCTGACCCAGCTCTCTGCTATGGCCTGGGAAAGTAGTATTAGATGGTCCAAATGCTTGGGCCCCTGCACCTGTGTGGGAGTAGCAGAAGCAGCTCTGAGCTCCTGGCTTTGGCCAGGCCCAACCCTGGCTGTTGCAACCATTTGGGGAGTGAACCAGAGGACGGAAGACCTTTTTCTCTGTCTCTCTCTCACTGTCTGTAACTCTACCTCTCAAATAAATAAATAAATCTTAAAAAAAGAAAAGTATAGGTAAGTAATCAAGAGGTCAGTGTACACAGAATCTTCCTGCGTCCCCACACACCCCCGCCTGCCCCTCCCACCGTGCCAGACAGAAGACTGGCACCACTCGCTTCCTGCACTCAGACTCACCAGGATGGCAGAGGTGGAACAGATGTGCATTCGTTTCCATTCATTGCTTTTGTGCCTTTGGCCTACTTGTCCAGGTCGGTTTGCATACAGGATGACAAACTCATTCCCTCTTCCTTCCACAGTCCAGTGCTCAGCCAGGCCAGGCAGCCATGGGTGACGCCAGACTGGTCCCCCTGGCTCACCTGAGCTGACCCCCTCTGTCCATGGCTCGCCTTTCCCCTCTCTGAGCTGGGACCCCACCCTCTCCTAGACACACAGGCCATCCCAGGCTGGTGACACAAATGCTTCTCTCCCTTCCCCGCCCCCAGACCCTGCTGCGCGATGGCAAGCGTGAGAGCATCGTCAGCACCCTCTTCATCTCCCCTGGCGACGTGGAGAACGGGCAGAGCATCGTGTGCCGCGCCACCAACAAAGCCATCCCCGGAGGAAAGGAGACCTCGGTCACCATTGACATCCAGCGTGAGTACCAGAGGGCCCTGCCAGGCCTGGGGTGGGAACCACCGGCAGCCCTGCCCATGCGTGACCGGGGCCACTGGGGCTCGGCCGGTGGGTGTGTACAGAGCTGAAGGGCCATGCTGTCCTTCTCACTGTCGTGTGAACCACCTCATTTGCAAACTACATTTCCACACCTCTACAAGGTGGAGCTTCCACACGGGTCAGTGTGGCCAGCTGCTGGCCTAGCCAGATGGCCCACCACCCTCTGTGGGTGAGGGAGTCAAGGCCAAGTGCTGGGGTCTGAAGGGCACTAAGGGCTCCAGGACAGGAGAGCAGCGCTGGGCACTGTGGAGGGTGTCCTGGGCCACCCCCATGGCAGGGTTGGCCAAGGACATAGAGGAAGAGGAAGAAGATCAGCTGCCAGGCAACTCATGCTTTTTTATTTTTTAATATTTATTTATTTTATTTGAAAGGCAGAGTTACAGAGAAAGAGAGAGTTACACAGAGAGAGAGAGATCTTCCATACACTGGCTCACTCCCCAGATGGCCGTAACAGCTGGAATTGTGCTGATCCGAAGCCAAGAGCCAGGAGCTTCCTCCAGGTCTCCCACACGGATGCAGGGGCCCAAGGACTTGGGCCATCTTCTACTGTTTTCCCAGGCTATAGCAGAGAGCTGGATCAGAAGTGGAGCAGCCAGGACTCGAACCGGTGCCCACATGGGATGCTGGCACTGAAGGCTGGGGCTTTAACCTGCTGCGCCACAGCGACGGCCCCAGCTCATGCTTTTCATGAGCTTTGTCTCATTGGACCTTTACCATGATCACTTGGGAGGCATATGACTATGGTCCCTATCTGGGGAAACAGGCATAAAAAGGCTGATCAGACTTGCCCAAGGCCATTTCCAGGCCCACCCCACCTACCTTTCCAGAGCCCCTCCCCCAGCAACCTCTCTCTACTCCACATGGTTGGTTAGGATCAATCTCGACCATAACCATACTTTCCACTCCCACCAGCACGGCCTTCCAAAAGTCAGCCAAAGGAGACTCTTAAGGACATCCTAAAAGTCCCCTGAGTGCCATACACTCAGAAGTGGACATCTTCTCCCTTAGATCGGGAAGGCACCGCCACCTGGGGCTGCCTGACCATAAAGCTATGAATGACAAGGTTGGAGCTACAGGCTGTCATTCATGACCTCCTTAGCATTTCATTCATTTTAAAGCAAGTGCATAGGGCCAGCGTCTTGTGGCATAGCAGGTAAAGCCGCAACCTGCAACGCTAGCATTCCATACGGGTGCTGCTTCATGTCCCGGCTGCTCCACTTCTGATCCAGCTCTCTACTAATGTACCTGGGAAAGCAGCAGAGGAGATCCAGGGATCTGGAGCCCTGAGGGTTTCAGGAACCTGTCTTGGCAGCCAGACAGCCGAAGTTCCCACCTCGGGTCTAAAATCTTGGCTGACATTGTGTGGATTCTAGAGGGCGGAAGAGGAGGTTATAGAGGTAGCTGGGCTCTAGACACCCAGACACAAAGGTTGAGCTCTTGGGGAAAACTTTGTCTTCTCTATTCTGCCACAGCCATTAGCAAACCCCCTGACCCTCCATACACCTGTACCTCCCCCCACAACTGCTCTCCCACACACACAGACCCAAGGATTTTTCTTTCATTCCCCATTCAATAAAAGCCCTGAGCAGCAGAGCTGTTGTCAAACCTAGAACAAGGGAGATGGAGCTACTGGGAACTGGCGCTGGGACTAGGACCAAGGGAGTGAGGAGCCTGGATTGTAACATTTAAGGAAGTGCTTACTCTGAAGGTCCCATGAGTACACGGTGGGCCCTGATGAGGAGGGCCTCCTTAAATGTTGCACCCTGGATTCCACCCTCCCCTGGCCCTGGCACTCAGTGCCACCTGCTTCTGCCTGGGAGGAGCTAGGACTTGGAACTTAGGCCCCACGGTTAAGAGGAGGCAGATGCTGCAGGGTCAGATGCTCCAGCTCCAACAGCCATGAACTGGGTTGGCCTAAGCTCGTCAGTTTGTTCCGAGGAACTCCACTTCCCAGTCTGGTTTGACCAAGTGATGTTCAAGATCCCTTCCTGCTCTGGGACAGATCATGGATGAGCCCCAAGTCAAATCAGAGAGGGGTGAGGGTGGGAGACACCAGACACCCAAGCCTCCTACTTCCCGGTCACCTTCCGCAGTCACTGTGCAGCCCCGTCCTCTGTGCCAGCTGGACGATCCCTTGCAAAAGAAACAACTTAGGTGGCTCCTTGAGACAGCAGCCCCGGCCCTGGGGGGAGATGGGAAGAAGCAGTGTTCCTGCTCCTGGGCACTGTCCATCACCCAGGAGAGCCTCCCCGCCTGCAACAAGAAAGCCATCATCAGGAGCCCAAGCCCAGCGCGCCCCCCAAAGGCACCCTCCAGCAAGAGCCTCCCCTCGCCACGGTGCGCAGGCGCCAGGGTCTGCCTCCTGCATGTCTTTCCAACGACATCTGAGCCACACTAGGCGAGAGGCTCAGAACCCAGGTGCCTCGTTTCCTAGGTGGGGCCCCTACTTGGCAGTGGCAGTTCTTCCTGGATGGGACACTTCCTGAGTGACACCGACCTGGTTAGTTAACTTCTCCGTGCCTCGGTTTCCTCCTGTGTACACGGAGGTAATAATGCTCACCTCCGAAGGCTGTAGTGAGGACGACATCCAATCACTGGTGTCAAGCCCTAGCAGCGTGCCTGACCCCTGGTGAGCCCTCTGCACGCACCAGCTGCTCCCGCCACTCCCAGTCGTAGGTGGCAGGGGAGGACTCATCACGCAGCTGCCCCAGCCCCCTGTCTCCTGTCTTGGGGGTGTCGTCTCTGTGCCTGGCAAGCCAGAGCACACCCTCTCTCCTCCCCCACGCTCCTCCTTGCTTGTGCATTCAGGGAGCGTCCAGCTGCTTTCTGCGGACACCACGGGCTGGATCAGAACTGCCGTTGCAAACCCGCTCATTTTCTCAGTCAACCGAGAAGCATCCAGACTCAGCAAAAGCACATTTGTTGTTTGTTTCCCTTGGTCTTTCTATGTTACTCAACGGAAGACAAAGCCCCCAGATTGAGTAATGGGAGGGAAGGCTTAACGCCCCCAAAGCCTCGCCACATCTGGACTCTGGGCCCAGCTGCCAAATTTCGAATGGATGTGCTAGCAAATCACTGAGTCATGAAGTTTCTCTCTCCCCACTCCCCTCCTCCACGCAATACTTCCTCCAAACACACACACATGCACGCACACACGCATGCTGCTGACGGAGACACTGACAGACTCAGCTGGAACATCTGTCCCCCGGGATCTCAGCTCCACCAGCTACATCAAAGCTGCCCTCCTGTGTGTTATGCAGCCGACATCGCAAGTGGGATTGAAATCATGTTTAATAGTTGGCTATGACATAAACTATTTATACCTCCGGAGCTCAGCAGACTCCTGAAAATTCATATTCTGCACATCAAGAGGACAGGGCAGCAGCGAAGGGAGACCTAGGCCTGGCTCTGTGGGGAGACTGGCAAGTGTGGGACCCCCACCACCAGGGCCCACGCTCCTGGGGCCCTTCAGGACACACTGGATGACGAGGATATTGCAAAGAGGGGAGGAAGGGGCAGGATAAGGTCCTCCTGGGGTGAACTGAGGGTAGCAGATATGGGGCAGAGCTTCAGGCAGTAGAATGTCCTCCAACAGGTGCTCACTGTGCCACGCTGCCTCCCAAAAGCTCATCACTTTGTAAAGGACACTCCGGTGAGGGACAGGCCACCTGGAATGGTCCCCCAGGGCTTTTGTTTTAAGATGCATTTATGTAGTTATTTAAAAGGCAGAGAGAGAGCGCGCGCTATGATCTTACATCTGCTGATTTGTTCTCAAAATGTTTGCAACAGCTGAGGCTGGGCCAAGCCACAGCTAAGGAGCTAGGAGCTGGGAGCCAGGAGCCAGGAGCCAGGAACTCTATCTGGGTCTCCTACATTGGTGGCAGAGGCCACTATCCACTGCCTTCCCAGGAGCATTAGTAGTGAGCTGTATCAGAAGCAGAGTAGCCTGGACTCAAACTGGCACTCCGATACGGGATGCCCTTGTCACAAGCTGTGACTCAACCCACTGGGCCACAATGCCTGTCTCTGTCCCCCAAGTTCTGTGGCACATCCCTGAGTCTCTTGACCTGGCACTCCCCACCTCCTCCGGCTGAGTTAGACTGAGGTCCTCCACCCCCAGTGTTGGATTTCATAACACGAGGACACGGGCCAGCCACATATTGGATCCACATGGCCATTCCCCAACCCTGGCGCCCCAGGGTGTGCTTTTCCAGCCACAGCCAGGCACAAGTCGGCAGCCAGCCCTGCACGGAGAGTCTGGACTCCTGACTCAGCCTTGCCTGGACTCCTGCGGACAGCAGTTAGGGAGGGTTCCCGGGGCTCCCACAGTTGGAGCTCTCCTGGGATGAGGGAGGCAAGTCCACGTGGGCATCCTCATATTTGCAACCTCTTGAGCTATGCTTTCAAAAGCAAGATGGAGATGGCCAAATCACTTCTCCAGTCATTCTCCAGCCTCTCCAGTAGCACCTGCTTCCTGATTTATGGATCCCTATGGACACCAAGGAAGCCCCGGTGGGTTCCTCCCATGCCCTGCCCTGTGCCTGGCACTGGGGAGCCCCAGCCGGCGGTGAAAGTGGGGAGGGTGGCCAGTAGTCAAATGGGTGCTTCCTCTAGGGTCGAGCAGGCTCAGCTCACAGCCGGGGATTGTGGTTATACCTCTCTATGGGTCTGACACAGGGGCAAGGCTGGGCAGGCTAGAATCTTAACCCTCTGTGGTCCACACTGGGGACCACAGAGGGGTCAGTATTTTCCCCAACGGCCTCTGGGTGGCTGGCTCCTGCACTTCATCTTCAGAAAATGAGCTAGAAAGCAGCCATGGCCTCCAGCCACATGCTCTGCCTGTCAGGGGACTGGCCTCAGACAGGTGCCCAGGACCCCGGCTCAGCCGTGAGACCCACCCTGCCCTCCAAATTCAGCCTGGAGTTGAACTCCAACCAGACCTGTGGGCCATGGCCAGCAGGAAGGACAGGTGCTGGCTTGTCCTCTCCCCTCCCCCTGGGAGCACCAAGGCCTGGCAGCCGCAGGGAACCCAGCAACACAAGTGATCCAGCCTCTGGAGGAGGTCCAGGGCTGGCCGCCGAAGTGCTCCCCTCTCGGCAGAGCCAGGCCGAGCCAAGACCATTCCCGGGGCTGACGTCCCTCTGTGTCTCCTCTGCGGGCCCTCAGCTCTACGTCCATCTTTCTGCCTCGCAGCAGTATCTGCTTCTCCTCACCTCTTTTCTCCAATCCGCATTCCTTTGCTTGGACTTTCTCCCCAACATGCCATGGGTTCTGTCTGTGCTGGCTTTCCCCCGGGCTTCTCTGCTCTCAGTGTGAAACCTTTGCCTGTCGAAGTCTCTGGACATCTGTCGGTCTCTCTGCTCCCTGCGCCTTTTTCTTTCTTCTCTCCCTCTGCATTTCTGAGTCTGGTGTTGCACATCTGTCTCTCTGCCTCTCTCTCTCCCTCGGTCTCCCTCTGTGGTTTCCACTTCTCCACTCTCTCCTCTGTGCCCCTCTCTGGCTGCCTCCAATCCAACTGCGCCCTCCGTCGGCTTTCACGTCTCTGCTTCCTGTCTCCCGGTGTCTCTCCCTCTCTCTGACTTCCTGTCTCCTTCCCCTCCCATCGTGTGGCACCCCAGAGCTCAGCTGCTTATGATGAATGAGAAGCCAAGCCCCAGCCCAGGGAGCGGAGGGCCTGGTGACGACAGCCAGGGCTGACAAAAGGATCTCAATGCCACTTTCAAGTGAACAGATGCCCCAGGACCTTTACACAGAGATAACAAACAGACGTTTCAAAGACGGACAGTTTGCATTGAGATAGGGCTGAGTCCCCGCTCACCCCGTGCCCCCAGGACACTGCACCTCTCCTGCTGATGAGTCTTGTTCTACCCAAAACCGGAAGCTGGGCAGCAGCTCCTGAGGCCCTGGCCGCCCGTCCACTTCCACACCAGACCTTGCCGCCCCCCAGGGCTCTGATCCCCCTCCACCACGGTCTGAGGCAGGCACCTCCAGGGATGGGAGGAGCCTCCTGCTAAGACCCCCCTTCCCCCCATCTTCTAGGGTAGGGTCCCAAGGTGGTGGGGCTCTCTGGCTTTTCCTCTCCATATAAGCCAGGGGTCTCCCGGCAGCCATTCTTCACACCGTCTGCAGATGACTGTCCTCTCTCTCCAGACCCCCCGCTTGTCAACCTGTCAGTGGAGCCGCAGCCAGTGCTGGAGGACAACGTGGTCACGTTCCACTGCTCTGCCAAGGCCAACCCGGCTGTCACCCAGTACAGGTGAGCATCAGTGCTGCAGGGGCACCGCCTGGCCGCCCGCCCTGCACCCCGTCCTGTCACATGCGATGTCACCTGCCAGGCTTCCGTGTCTTGTTCCCTCCTCCTACACCTGCCCACCAGCTGGCCAGCAGGCTTCTTCCTTCCCTTCACGCTCCTGCACTTCTGAAACCAGGGAGACAGCCTCGGGACACGAGTTCAAGCAAGCAGGAGGAGCAGAAGGATCAGAGCATGAGCCAAGCACGTGCTGGTCACACGCACCTGGGCAGGGTCGGAGGGCGCCCGAGATCACACAGACCTGGGGCTCCGGCGTGTCTCCCGCTCGCTGCACTGATAAAGGCATCTGCCTTTTGCATGCCTGTCTCTGCCTTTTGACCGAGTTTCTCGAATTGCAATTTAGTCACTTACGGCTCTCAGCGTGGAGCACGGTGCGTGGCATGAGCCAGGTGTTCCTTAAATGTATCAACAGCAACTCCTCGCTCTCCCCCACTCTCAGCCCTCCCCCCCAGCCACAGCTCTACAGTGCAGCCCAGGTCCCACCCCACACACACACGCACACAAGCCATGGATCTGGGTTATTCAGCTACAGCCTCAGCAGGTGCCAAGGGCCCCAGACTGAGAAAGAAGCCAGTCCAGGGGAGGGACAGCAGAGAAGACAAGAGGCAGGGTGGCTCCAGCCAACAGAATACAAGGACATGGGCCAGAGTTGCAGGCTGGATGCTGGACAAATGAAATAGTAACTCTCTGCAGTATGGATCATTAAGCAACACAGGACTCAGAAACTCAGGCAGGGCATCGGGTCTTTATCCCCGAAGGTATTTTGAAATAGGATGCAAACCCATCTGCCCTGTCCAAGTTAGCCGTTCCATGGACTGGAGGCGGAAGGGAGATCAGAACACCTCCAGGGTCCCTTCTGGGCAAAAGACTCCATCTCCAGGGAGTCCCAGGAGGATCCAGGGAAGGTCTAGTCTGGCTGGGGCCAGGCCTCCATCAGAAGTGACTAAAGAAAACCCAGTAAGGCTTCTTTCCTCTGGCTTCCACCCTGCACCTGCCGGGCCCTGGCTTATCTCGCTGAGTGCTCCCAGCTCCCTGCCCAGGGCCCCTAAATGCTCAGAAAACACCTCTAATGCCAGTTCCCACGGCATTCCTTCCTTCCCCTCTGCCACGGACCACCTGAGCAAACACCCCCTAACCCTCAGCACCCCCACAGCCGTCTCCTGGATACCTGTCGGGCCTCAAAGACCAGCTGCACAAATTCCAACCTCCACTTACCTTCACTGCCCAGCACCAGGTCAGCTGAGGATCTGCGGATGGGAGTCTGGGCAGACAGTAGAGCAGCCTCCACCCAAAGGCCCAGGACCCCACCCACACCTGCCTTCTGGCCAGTCAGGCCAGGCAAACACACCACGTCACCCGCCTCCCCAGAGCAGACAGTAATGATGAGCAGAAGGTGTCCACCCATACCCCCATGGGGCCAGGTCGTGACGAAGCTCTTGTGGCCAAATGTTAGCACCTGGAGAATCTGGGTGAAGGAGGTGGCCGTGACTGGAGCTAATCTAACTCTCCTGTCATTTTGGAGTTTCTTTTTCTCTTTTTTAAAGATTTGTTTATTTAATTGAAAGGCAGAGTTACAGAGAAAGAGAGGGAGAGATGGAGAGGGAAGTTCCATCCATTGGTTCACTCCCCAAATGGCCACAAGAGCCAGGGCTGAGCCAGGCAGAAGCCAAGGGACCAAGAACTCCATCCGGGTCTCCCACGCGGGTGCAGAGGCCCAGTCGCTTGGAACATCTCCTTCTGCTTTCCCAGGCACGTTAAAGAAAGCAGAGCAGCTGGGACTTGAACCAGCGCCCGTATAGGATGCCAGCCTTGCAGGCTGTGGCTTTACCCACTACACCACAGCACCAGCCCCTGGAGTTTTCTTTTTCAATCTAGGAAGTTAATGACTGTGCACAAAGGAGACAAGCACATTTCTCTAGGCCACAGGTGCCCTGAGGGATTCCCTCCCTCTTCACCCTGTCCTGGAGCTCACGGTGTCCTCCAGGTTCAGCCCTGGTGCAGAGGAGGAACCAAGACAGGCAGGGAGGGCAGAGATCCCTGGCCACCTTCCAATTAGCCCTGTAAATGCTTCTGTGCCACACTGGGCGCCCTCCAGGACGCCAGAGGCTTTGGGGCTCCTTCCAGCCCCCAGGAAAAGGTGGAAGAGCCTGGGAAGGCAGGAGGGAGAGAGGCCGGGAGGAGAGGAGGCAGCAGGTGCCTGTGCCCACCCACACCCACTGAGCCCCTGCAGGCTGGGAGGCCTCCTCCCACACCAGCTGCTCCTTCTCCATGCCGCCTTGGGATGCAAAGAAAAAGCCTTAAGCAGATCTCACCACAGAAGCGCGATGACCAGACTGCAGGATCTGACCCGGATTGCCTCCTGCCTGCTCCACCCACCTGCCTTTCTCCAGCCCTGCACCCAGGCAGGGGTCGTGGGGTGGGCGTGGGGGCTGCCCCACCAGCTGCACCCAGGGACGGGAGTCCGGGCCAGCAGCACAGGCCCAGGCATAGCCCGAATATTCTGCCTGGCTTCTGAGCCCTCACCTCTGGGGACTCTGGGTATCCCCCAGGCAGACAGAGGGATGGGGTCCGCCATTTGACACGCCCACCTGCCGGCCTCCGGATTCTGTCATGTGAACAATCCTCTTACATTTGTTCAGACCAAAGTAGACATTGATTGTGAACAGCTTAAGCAGACTGCATTTTCAGAGGGGCTGGGAGGTTGGTGGAAGCAGCAAGATAGGGGCTGGGAAGGCGAGGGGCGGAGCCGGAAGGGAGGGGGCGGGACTTGCTCCTGGGCTCTGATACTGAGGGGCGGGGGGCTCGGATGCAATACTATGGGCCTCTGTGCTTCTGGAAGGGACCCCGCGAGGGTCTCTGTGGTGGGACTGGGGAGCAGAGGGGAGGGAGAATGGGCGGAGCCAGGTGGCCGGCAGGCGGGTGTCCAGGCGCACCCGGGAAAGCATATCAGCCAAGGCCTCCCTCCTGCCCTCTCCTCCGCCCCAACAGGGCAAGGCCTGGCCTGCAGAGCTCGGCCTGCTGACCCTTCCTTCTCTCGCATGGTGAGCAGAGAGGCCAGCCTGGCTGACATGCGGGGGAACCCCAGAGCTCTCCTGGTCACTCTGCATCACATGGTGGGGCTCCCCTCCCCTGGGCCCGGCTGGAGGGGGACAATGCCCACCTTTTCCAGGCACCTTGGGGACGAAACCTGCAGGCCTGTCCATCAGACCAAGGCCCAGCCCCAGCCCAGCCTCCTCCCCGAGCCCCAGCACCGGAGCCCCCTTGCTTCAGAGTGTAGAAGGAAAGTGGGGCTGGACACGGGTCCCCAGCTGTGCGTTTGGAACTGAATTCCTCCACCCCAGGCAGGGGCCGTGCCTAGCTATTAAGTCTGGTCATTAAATTAAAGTTAGAAATGGAAACGACTCATGAATAACTCATAATGGTTTGTGGAGAAGCTCCTTAAGCTCTCAGGGAGCTATGGCTTGCTCTGTTGTGAAACTATAATTGTTATTATTAATCGTGTTCTTAATCATTACTCGATATTAATTCTCGATAACAACCACATGGTGCCAGCCCAGGTGTTCGTGGGACGCAAGGAAGCGGCAGTCTCTCAGGGCCCCAGGGGCTGGGCTGAGCCAAGAAGCGAATGAAGGGCCCCTTGGGGGCCGGGAACAGGAGGGGGGCCAGAGGCAGGGGAGGGGTCAAATGGGGGAGGGAGCCAGAGATGGGGGAGGGGCCAGAGGCAGGGGAGGGGCCAAAGGCAGGGGAGGGCAGAGGTGGAGGTGGGGGAAGCTGTGGTTATCAGAGTTGGGGATTATGGAGTGGCCAAGGAAGCACCCCAGCTCTGCAAACACCCCAAAACAGGCTTGAGCTGCGGGAAGAACCCTGCTAGCAGTTCTCCGATTTTAAGAAATAAAGTGTTATCTGCACGATTAAACTGGGGGATGCTGAGAACTCTGTCTCCTCGGGGATATGTAAGGAAAACCCCCACTTCACACACAGGCACACACACACATGCTCGCACTCACAGGTGCACGTGAGCCTTCATTCGCATACACACCGTGTGCTCTCAGATGCACACACTCACACTGACACACACACACGTACCCTCACACAGATACACACATATTACACCCACATGCTCACACTCGCAGATGCACACACATGCCCTCACACACATACACACAACGTATACTCAGATGCACACACACAGACACACATCTACAGGGCTTCAGTTGCACGTGCACACTACAAGCTGCCTGGCCACTGGTCCAGCGCAGTGGTTGTCACCTCAAGGCCAGGGCCACACCAAGCCTGGGCAGCACTGACTTGTGGATGAAAGGACCTTCCTCCCTGCCCCCCTCCAAGCCCCAGCCAATAGAGCAGTGACGTCAGGACCAAGGCCAGGCTGGGAGGACAGTCTGGGCAGGGATGAAAGCCAGAGCCATGCCTAGGAGGGAGGCTGCCCAGACTCTCCAGGGAGAGGGACCAGGATGGGGGACAGGCTAACGGCAGGTGCAGGGCAGAGCTGAGGGGGAAGACCCCTGGCTAATGTCTCTCCTACAGCTGCTCACCTTGTCTGGAAACCCAGCTTCCTGGAGCCTCACAGCCGGGTGTGTGTGAGGGAGTGTATATGTGCATGTGTGTGCACATGTGTGTATGTGTGTGCAGCTGCCTGCAGGCCCACAGTGGGGTTATCCATCATGTAGCCAGGCGGATGGGCCAACAAAGCACATCACCAACCTACCTTCTTCCGGAATAACCCACTTGTCAAGTGCCACCGTGTACCAAAGCTTCCTCCAGAGTACATGCAGCTCCCCGAGGGACGGCCTTGGCACGCTCGGCCTCTGTTGCAGGTGGGCCAAGCGAGGCCAGGTCATCAAGGAGGCGTCTGGAGAGCTGTACCGAACTACCGTGGACTACACGTACTTCTCAGAGCCCGTCTCCTGCGAGGTGACCAATGCCCTGGGCAGCACCAACCTCAGCCGCACCGTGGACGTCTATTGTGAGTGCCAGGCTGGGCGTGCTGCCCTGGGGGAGCGGGCATGGTGTGGTCTCTGCCTGGGGCTGGAGAAGCTGTGGCTGTGTTCTGTGCATGGTCTAGCCATCCCATGTTGCAAGCTGAGAACACTGCACACTTACAGAACGCCCCCTTGTGTGGCGTTCCCTGTGTGTGTGGATTCTTATCAGGACCTCGTGCAGGACCCATGGCCCTGTGCCCTACACTTCTGCAGCTTTCTCTCGGCCCCACTGTTTTCCACTAAGCTCAGTCTGCTCTTGGAAGGGCCACTCCTTGGTGGCCTGGTCAGACTGTCTGCCACATCCATGGGCCAAGGCCAGGGCTGCAGGCCCACGCGCTGGGCTAGGAGGTCAGAGAGCACCGAGGGGAGTCTCCAGGAGTCCACTCCAGCACTGAGTGGAGGCAAGGGACGCGGGGCCCCGGGCTGGTCTGCTTCAGCGAGCTCGGACAGGAGGCCGAGAGAGGCCCCAGGAAGGATGACCTGAGATGACCAGGTGGGAAGCCCAGAGGGAGGGGGTCCAGGCAGAGAGAGTCCTGCCTCCTTCACGGCACCCCAGAGCCTCCTTGCAAGGGCTGCTGGGACAGCTCAGGAAGCTGAGCCAGATGTGTCAGGCATCTGCGTTCCAGGGCCTCATCCCAGCCCAAGGCAGGAAGAAGGCCTCCTGCCCCTACACAGGGGTGGGGCTTCCTCAACTTGCCAAGGCCAAGTAGCACGGGGGCTGAAGGCAGGGGATGGGGCAGCCCTGTGGCAAACCCAGGCAGAAACTGAGCCCAAGCACCTTGCTCCTGGGGCTGGTGCTGCCTGCTGTCTCCGTGGTGGGGGAGAACTGGGCTTCCTCCTTACCTCCTGAGGCCCACCCCCTGGCCCCAGGCCCACCTGGGCAGAGGCCTCGAATGTAAGGCACTGAAGTGGATTGAGGGTACACAGGTTCCCTGCTGTCTCCCTTCATCTTATCCAGGTTGTGGGGTGGGGGGAGGAGGTGGAGGTGGCAGCCAGGAGGGACCTGGAGTCTCCGGCCCACCCCGAGCCCTCCCTCCTGTCCTCCCCATCACAGTTGGGCCCCGCATCACCTCTGAGCCCCAGTCGCTGCTCGTGGACCTGGGCTCCGACGCCGTCTTCAGCTGTGCCTGGACCGGCAACCCATCCCTGACCATCGTGTGGATGAAGCGCGGCTCCGGCGTGGTGAGTGTGAGCTCAGACCACAGTGTCCTGTGGCCGCGCTTGAGGCACCTGCCTTCCAGGGCCCTCCCACTGCCAGACTGCGGACGTCAGCCTGTGGGGGCTTCAGCATGTCCCCGACACTGGTGCGGTGTCACTGTCTGCGTCCGGCGCTTTCTCCTGCCAGCTACCCCTTGGCTTCTTTTTCCTTCCTTTATTTTCATTTTTATTTCAAATTCAGAGAATGAAAGTGAGACAGGCAGACAGAGCTCTTCCACCCGCTGGTTCAATCCCCAAATGGCCACAACAGCCAGGGCTGTGCCAGGCTGAAGCCGGAAGCCTGCAGCTCCCTGCAGGTCTCCCAGGCAGGAGGCAGGTGCCCGTCATCTGTGTGGGATCAGGGGAGGGGTCCCAGGCACTGTGCCATGGGAAGCAGGCATCCCAAGCAATGTCCCAACTGCACACCCCCAAGTGCCCTTGGCCTTGACTGCGGTGCTGGCAACAGTCATCCACCCCGGGTCTGCCTCCAGGCCCTCTGGCTCCAAAACACAGTGAGCTTTCTGCTCCTCTTGGTGTCTAATCCTCACCGTTCTCCTAGGTCCTGAGCAATGAAAAGACCCTGACCCTCAAATCCGTCCGCCAGGAAGATGCTGGGAAGTACGTGTGCCGGGCGGTGGTACCCCGGGTGGGAGCCGGGGAGCGTGAAGTGACGCTGACTGTCAATGGTAAGACCCCCCCTCCACAGCGGTAGCCTGGGTGGGAGGCAGGGGAGAGGGACCCAAGGAAGCTGTCACTGGTTCTGGGCCTCGTGGTCCCCCTCAGCTCTGGGTCAGCAGCCGTTACACCCACCTCCTGGAGTCCCTGTCGAGGCCAGGCTGGCTCTCTCCTGGCTAGCTCTCTGCCTACCTCCTTCATTCCTTGCCACCTTTGAAGGGGGCTCAGCTCCACGGTGGTAGCTGAGGAACCTTATCCTGGCCAGGAGAAAGGGGTCCAACATAGATCCCTATGTACCCTGAGACCACCCACCATGACAGTGGCCATGGGGTCCAAAAGGGGCCCTTTCCCATGGCATCAAAGCCACACAACCAGGGACACCTGTCCCCATCCCCATGAGACCCAACGTGAGGTCCCCTTGAGGGCAGGGAACGCATCTTGCTATAGATGATAAAGTCAGTCGGGCAGGAGAGAGTTCGCATAGTGGTCAGTGGCTGACGGTTCCGGGAGACAATGTCCTGTGCCATGGCATGGGTGAGGCCACCAGGCCTAGGTGAGGGCATCTCGGTACCAGGCATTGCCCCTGGCACATAGCTGCTCCTGGAGAAGCTGGGACCTAGCTCAGGTCTGCCTCAAGTAGACTGCAGCACCAGGACAGAGATCCCCAGAGAGAACAGAGCTACAGCTTAGAGAGAGAGAGAGAGAAAGAGAGAGAGAGAGAGCCCCTGCCCCCGCCATAGTCTGCCTCAGTCTAAGCCCTGAGCCCAGACCCCTGTTTGCAGGGCTTCGGGTCCCTGTCCCACAGCAGGCCCTAGCAAGGGGCTCCCTGGCCTGAGTTCTCACAGTTAGCCCCGCTCCCCTGAGGAAGCCGCCCACAGCCAGCCTCATTTGTTCTCCCCTGTGCTAAAGAAACATCAGCAGGTGATGGCACCCCACCTTCCCCTCCACTGTCCCCACCAGCCTACACCCCTCCCTTCCTATTCCATTACTCTCCACTCCCCCAGGGGTGCCAGCCCCCAGGCCCCAGAGCCAGTGTTCAGGGAGCACGTGCCCTGCACAGAACCCTGACTTGGAGCCCTCCTGCCTTTCCTGCGTGTCCCCAGGACCCCACCAATAAATTGGCACCGCAGGGCTAAAAATAACAGCATCTGATCGCACCTCCGTATATCCATGGCAACGCGGCTGCAGCCTTTTCCTGCCGAGCCGCCGCTGTCTGACACTCGGCTCAGCCGCCAGGCCACCGCTGCCCGCTCTGGGGAGGGCACTGGGGAGTTGTCTGTCCCTGCCCGTCCCTGTGGCCACCAGCTGGGCCAGGCACCCTCACATCCATGGGGTCCCTGCCCTCCAGGGCCCCTGAGCCTGAAGGTACTCCCAGAGCATCCTCATTTCTGGGCATGAGGGTGGATGAAGGAAGGGCTGCCATCTGGCTGTCACTTTAGACATTCCAGCGTTTCCCAACTGAGATTAAAAGAGGTGTCTTAAGTTGAGAACGCCCCCTGGGGAACGCATGCCTAACAGGGACATTTCTCCCCAAGGCAAGGGACAGCCTGAGCCCTGGCATCTCCCCAGGGTCTAATCTGTGTCCCCAAGGGGTTCCCATCCCCTCCTGTGCCTCCACTCTCCTTCAGGAGCTCCCCCAGGTTGCCAAGCAGAGAGAAGCCGGCAGCATCGAACCAAGTCAGGACGCTGCTCTTGTATTGCTGCTGGACTGGGGCGGCTTGGCCCTGAGGCAGGGGCCTGGATGCTGTGGCCCCAGGGAGGGTAACCTCCCAGCCCCCACCAGTCTGTCCCTACTTTGGAAGATCAAGTGGGCAGCAGTCTGGCACCATAGCCTAAGGTGTGAGACTGGTCACCCGCCAGCGCCCTCTAGGGACGTCTGCGGGCATAGCTCTCACCTGAGCTGCCTCCAACCAGGCTTGAGCAAAAAGATGCACTTCCCTTTGTCGTGCTTTTTGTTTTCTTTGAAGAAGCCCGTGAACGCCCAGACATCCGCTGATAGCTTGTGGAATCCTGAGAGCCCCTGGGGAATTCCCAGGTCCCGGGACGGGACGGGACGTGAGGGGCAAGTTTGCGTGGTGGCGTCACTTTTCAGCCTGGCAGCCAACCACAGCACCACGCTCAAGCATCGAGCCCTCAGGCCTCAGCCCACTGTTGGTGCCCTCTGCAGGCGGGCGGCAGTAGCCCTTATCTTGGCTGTCACGTGCCTCTTCAATCAGCAGCAGTCGCCAGAGTGTCTCCCAGGACTTTTCCTCCACTGGGCTGTGAGCTCCTCGTAGGAGCTGCAACAGTGCGTTCATGAAGGTGGCTGATAAACAGCACTGAGGTCTGAAGTACCTTCTGCTTTGTTCCCACCTGATTCTGCCTCTTCTCCAGACCCCCTGCGCTCACTCTGGGTGCTGCTGTCGGAGCATCCCACCCATCACCACGGGCCCTGAAAAGGGGCAAAAGCTTTGCATCCCTCCTCCTGTCCCTGCAGCCACCCAGCCCAGCCAGGAGGTTAGCAGAGTAAGTGGCTACGCCAGCAGCTCCTCCTGTCCCCTCTCACTGCCAGGGAACACTTAGGGTGGGTAGCAGGCAGAAGCGGGCAGGAAACGCTATAGGACAGTCTCCGCTCCAAGTGGACTCTCTGGGCTGCCCAGTGTGGCCAGCGAGATAGGCACACTCGGAACCTGATGCCCATGAGGTTGGTATGGGAATGGGGTCGGTTTCGGAGCCGTGGTCTCACCGGGGCTATCTCATAGGTGAGTGCATGTGGGCAAGGAAATGGACTTACTAAAGGATCTCCCGCAAAGGCACAGGATAAAGGCTGCAATTGTGCAAGGGCTTTCCTCCCAGGGAGGGTGATTCCAGTTTGGGTAGAGAAACATCACCATTCCTCTTCCTGATTGGCCTGCTTCAGCAGCCACTCAGTTTGTTAGGCAAGAGCGCCATCTGCTGGACGTCTTAGAAATGACTTGCGAGCCCGCGGGCGGCTAAGGCGCAGATTTGGTAGCGAAGCCTTGCTCCCAACACCTCCCCCACCCCGTTCCCAAGCTTACCACCTCCCCCACACAGAATTATTCTCTCTCCATTGAAGTCGGTTAGCACTCTCTCTGCACCGCCTTGTGGTGCTAACTCTCGCCACCTCTTATTACCGTTATTTATTTTTCCTGGGACTTGAAAGCATTCACTCAGGGCTCCTTGAGAGGTTTACGGCAGAATGCCTAATTCATCTTGGAGTCCCCTACCTTGCACTTCACCTTGCACACACAGGCTTTGCGTAAACATTGACTGAATGCAGAAACCCCGCAAAGAGGGCGCCAGCCAGGGGCCCACCCTTACCGGGTCCCTGACATGAGGCTGTCTCCCAACAGGACCCCCCATCATCTCCAGCACCCAGACCCAGCATGCTCTGCACGGCGAGAAAGGCCAGATCAAGTGCTTCATCCGGAGCACACCGCCGCCCGACCGCATCGTGAGTGCCCGGGGAGGCTGGGCCAGCGCCCCACCCCCACTCCCGTGGGCTCCTGACAGCAGGGCTGGGGTGGGGGCAGGCGGGCACACCTCTGAGCCTACTCCTCCTCTGTGGGGAAGACTACACCTGCTTGCCTCTCTTGGAAAGGTGTGGTGAAGACACAGTACAGCAGCTCCTGTCTCAGGACAGGCTGTGCTCACGGCCCTGAGCTCAGACACCAATGGTTCTAACCCGAGTCTGCACGCCAGGGGCAGGCATGTGGCCAGGGCAGCAGAGGGAAAGGCCAACCATTTCTGCCTCTCCTGGGGCCAAGCCGGTCTCTGGCTCCATCTTCAACAGTGCCAGTTACAGCTAGCAGCCCCGCTTCACATCCCCACCCTAACCCCGAGATCCCTGGCCATCCCAGAAGTCCAGCCTCGTGGATCAAGAGTTTCCAGGCTCCCTCCCTTCCTCCAAACCGGTATCCCTGCGGTTTGTGTGCAGCTGTGTGCGTCTGCATTTTGTAAAAGGGGGTCTTGCACTGAAATCCATTTGAAACTGGCAGAAATTCAAGCATGCAAACAAAGAAAAGTGAGCGTTTCATAGCACTTACTGGGGAAAAAATTATTTTTCATTCTCCCCAGTACCTGGACACTCCTGCTGGGGGGAGCCAGGCCGGGGATGGTGGGGGCTGAGCACCCAGAGCCTGTACACACTGAGCTGGGATCTTGTCAGAGTGTTGTTGCTGTTAGCCACTATATCGGGTGTTTGTTCATTCACTGTCTGGGAGATCCCTAGAAACACTGCAAGAAGTCAGGCCTCCAGTGAATGCCTGGGCCTTCCTGTGTTTGTATGTTACAACAATAACGGCTGTGAACCAGTTCACACCACCCTTCTCCCATAGATCTCCAACCCTGAACTCATGGTTCTCAACTGGGAGCAACTTCGTCCCCGGGGACACCCGGCAGTGTTTGGGGCCGGCGGTGCCACTGGGGTCACAACCGGGAAAGGCCAGGGATGCTGCCAGTGTCCTCCAGGGCACTGGCGGGGCCACTGCGGCTGGTCCTGAGCCCTGGGCCCCAGCCTTCACGGCCGGCTTCACACCGCATGTCCCGGCGGGGCTGGGGTGTGTGCAGTGCAGTGTGCCGGGGGCAATGCAGGCACACTGTCATCCTTGTGAACCAAGCACAGGAAGACATCACAAGTGCGGCTTGAAGGACACTCCCACGAACAGGAGCAAAGCCAGGCAGGGTCCTGGGGCGTGCAAAGAAGGCGCAGTACCAGGCACTGCCAGGTGTAGCGCCAGAGAGCACCTGTGAGGGGTGCACCTGTGAGCGGTGCACCTGTTGAGCGGTGCCTCCGCCAGGAAAAAAAAAATTCCTAGGGCAGACCTACCTCCGTCCACTTCTGGGGCGGGCCCAATCTGTGTGTGCGCGCACGAGTGGACGCGTGGACCCATGAGGTGATGTCTGTGTTTGTAGCATGTGGTGTGCATGCATGTATCTGAGCCTGCACTTGTGGATGGGTGTGTGTGTTGCATGGACAGATGTTCGTGGGATGTGTGCATATGTGGTGCTGTCTGTGTAGGTGTGTGCAATGATGTTTGCAGCGTGTGTTGTATGTGTGAGTGTGTGTGCTGGTGGCGCGCGGCAGCGGGCGGGAACCTGGCCGTGGGCACCTGGGCAGGTGGTGGCAGCACTATGGTCCCTTGTGGGCGGCTCTGGCGGGGTGTTCTACTGATCTGCGCCACCCACCCCCCACTCCCCCGGCAGGCCTGGTCCTGGAAGGAGAACGTGCTGGAGTCGGGGACATCAGGGCGCTACACGGTGGAAACGGTTAGCACGGAGGAGGGGGTCATCTCCACACTGACCATCAGCAATATCGTGCGGGCCGACTTCCAGACCATCTACAACTGCACTGCCTGGAACAGCTTCGGCTCCGACACGGAGATCATCCGGCTCAAGGAGCAAGGTGAGGACTGCAAGGGCTGCCAAGGCGACAGGGGACAGCAGGGCCCCTCCTGGCCCAGGTCAGCCCCGGGGGTGCAGCATGCCAAGAGCACCCGCCAGCAGCTAGCGGGCAGGGCAGGTCCCGAGAGCAAGGCACAGGGCTCTGCCTTATTGGCCACACAGCCGTAGCCAGCGGGCTCTCTGCAGAGGGAAAGGACACTAAGCTCCACCAGGAATCCAGAAGGGGAGGGACACCGCTCGGGGTGATGGGCTCCAGGGCAATGCTGCAGGTGCAGCCGGGCTCACGGCAGGAGAAGCCACCCCACAGTCTTCTGTGCCTGCTGCCCTCCCTTGTGGGCCCTGGCCTGGCACCCAGTGAATGCCCTTAGCGGGTGTTCTGCCCAAGCAAAACGAGGACACACTAGTATGGCTGTGTGGGATCCTGACCCAGCTGGTCACCCAGAAGTCCCTGGGAAGATGCTCAATCGAAAGCTAAGGAGGGTGCTAGCCCGTCTCACTCCCTGGTGCAGGGCGCTGCGCTCCCAAGGAGCCACCGCCAGAGGGCAGCACTGGGCAGACAGCCGCAGAGCAGCAGGTGGGTGAGAGGGAGGGGCCGGAAAGAAGCCACAGGCCGCCGTGACCCCAACTGCCGACTGTCCCAGCTCCTGTCCAGGGAGATGCCGGGAACGCCAGTCTCTGGCTCAGAGTTCTTGGGCACCTACTGAGAGCCCATGATTTGCGCAGGGCAGAGAGACTCGGGAGGGGCGCAGAGGAACACGGCGAGGGGAGGGGCGGGCGGGGCTGGTCTCCAAGGAGCTCTGCCTGTCGGGGCTGCAGATCTTGCCCCTGGCAGGCAGGACTCAGCCAGGATGGACCAAGGATTCGTGCTCAGCGGGGCCTGACCCTCTGGACAAGAGGTTGTGGGCCGAGCGGGGGTCCCACAGGGATCACACTCATCTCCTAACACCTCCTCCGGAATGGGCTCTGCTTTGCATAACGCTTTGCACATAATTTGCATAACATCATCCACACGTCATCCCAGACCCTCCCTGGCCCCCTGTTGCCTACCCTCCTGTCTTCCCCTCATCCCCCCACCGTGCCCTCCCCTCGGTGTTCTCGCCCCACCCCCACCCCTGCTGGAGTCTCTAAGTCAGCCTGAACCAACTCCAAGCGCAGCAGCCGGGCGAGCCTGGATCTGCAGGGTGGTCCCAAAGACGGGACTGAGGAGGGAAGCCCACCCCCACCCCACCACAGCCCCTCCAGGGGCCGATCCCCCGCCCCGCCCCGGCCTGGCCAGCCAGGCTCTGGCTGTGGACGCTTGCTTTATTTCCAAACAGGTTCGGAAATGAAGTCGGGAGCCGGGCTGGAAGCAGGTAGGGAAGGAGACGATGAGAACTGGCCCCTGGAGGGGGGAGGGGAGGGACTTCTTGGCTAGTGGGGGAGGGGACCCCAAGAGGGTAGGGAGGCCGTGCAGATGCAGGCCCCTCTGCCTTCCCACGGTGCCCGTGCTGAGGGTTTAGTGCAGTCAGAGCAGCCGGGAGAGGGGCTCCAGCCAGGCGGGGGCCTAGGGACCCCAGAGACCCGGCTGTTGTCTGCTGCCATGGCCCAGGTCTCCCTCTTCCCCGGGTCTCCCTCTTCCCCGGCCCTGGTTCCTGCACCTTTCTCTCAGGAGCCCTGGGTCCTGGCCCTGGCCTGGCCTCCTCTACTTCTGGTCTCTCCCTGCTTCTCAGCATCTTCACAGCTTGGCATTGGCTCCCAGGATGCTGCCTGCTTGACCCCCGCATGCCCGCTCACCCAGCTCCACTCCTGCAGCTCACCCCCTGCCCCAGACTGGGGCTGCTGGCAGTGCCTCTCTCCCCAGGAACAGGCACAGCACTCCCTGGTTTGAATTGCTCTGGCCCCGTGCCCCAAGCAAAAACCCAGATAAAGAATCAGGACAGAGCCAGCCAGATTCGGGGGGCACACTAAGGCCAAGCTGAAGACTTGGGTGTCTTCTGCCTTGATTCTCCTGCCACGCGGAGCCCTGGCCCCTGGGATCCCCTTGAATAAGCTCCATGGGGGACCCCTACCCCACCCCTCTGCAGGGCAGCAGTGCAGGACGGGGCCACACAAACAGTTGTCAACCCCTTGCTGTGTTCTCCCAACTCCCCTGGTGGCCACCTGGTGCCGAGAGGTGGCATGTCCCTGCCGTCTGCATTTCATGTGCGTCTGCTCACACTCATCCAGAGCTCCTGACACCTGCTTCCCTCCGTGGCTCAGAGTCCCCGCCTTGGATGGTGCTCAGAGTCCCCGCGCCCAGTGCCCCCGCCTTGGATGGTGAGGAGGCTAAGCAAGGGCAGCCCTCCCTGCGGTCCTCCCCAGGGAACGTCCAAGGTGCTGTGCTCAGGCAGAAGCCAGGCAGGGAGGAACCACACTGGGAACTGGGAAGGGAGGCTACTCCAGGCCCAGCTGCCCAGACAGCTTCCTCCCCTACCCCGCACCCTCCCCTGTGCACCTGCTGCGGGCCAGTCTCCAGCTGAGACCATGCCCCTCCTGCTGGCTATGAACACCTGGAAACGTGGGTTCAAGGTGTCAGGGAGCAAAGTATCCCAGACCTATACAGCTGCTCCAGCTCTCTGGTTTTCAGATGGGCCAGTGAGGTCTGACAGTTAGAAACTGTCCACGGCTGTGATTTGGCCCTGAGCTCAGCTGAGACCAGCCCCCAGTTTTCCCAAGGAAACGCTCTAGGAACCCAAGGAGAAGCTGAACCAAACCCAAACTGTGAACACTCGAAAGCGTAGAACAATGAGCTTCCAAAGCAAGTTCCTTTCCCAGTGGAATGAAACCCAGAGACAGAATCCCCTCTTTACCAAAGGAACTCAGCCGAGGGCAGGTCCCTCTGCTCGGTGCTGGCCACTGAGGCCAGCCCAACGCCGCTCCCTCCAGTCCTTGAGTATTGCCTCCTCTGTCGCCCCCTCGATGGCCTTGGCCACCGATAGGTAGGTTACAGGTGAGCTCGGGTGAGAGTCCTGGGGTGGCAGGGGGATGACCCAGTGTCATCACACACAGCCAACCAGGGGCCGCCGGCTCTCTCGGGCAAGTGTCCCCTCCCACGCCGCTGACACCTTCTCTCAGCAGCACCTCTAGGCGCCAGGGTTTGAGGGTTTCTTCCTCTCTTTAAAGGAAGCAACATTGAGAGGCTAGCCCACAGCGCCAGACCAGATACCTGCATGTTGCACAGGTCATTGTGCTGATGGCCGTGGGGTGGGGAGGGGAGGGCGCTCAATCGTGCAAAGGATCTTTCCTCCTTTAAGGATTTGGCCTGACACAGCTCCCCCATCCCATGTGATACCCAGAGCAAAACACATTTAAATAGCGCAGGGTACCAGGTTCTCTTCCAAGGCCCTTATCAGCTCACTCATTCCACTCACGTGCAGCCCTCTGGGGAAGGTGCCATCACTACCCCATGTTACAGAGAAGAGAGGTAAAGTAGGTCGCTCAGAAGAAGTGATGGAGCTGAAACCCAAACAATCGGCAGCCTGGGCTGCACGCGAGCCTTGGAGGATGCCATGGGACACAGTGGATGGCACCGGGCAAGACTGGAGAGGGCAAGCAAGATGGGTGGGAAGAGTAGGAGGCTGGCTGGGTTTGCCCTGACTCTACTGCAGCTGTGTGCCCTTGGCCATGTCTCTCGAGTTCCCTGGACTCCCTTCCCTCTGTGACGTGGGAGATTTGGACTCGGTGGCTCTCAGCGTCCCCCAGCCCCAGCACTCTCTAGTTCTACTCCTGGGCTCCAAAGGGTGTGCTCAAGCCCCCTGTGCAGCCACAGAAGGGCCAGGGCTGTCTGGTGCCCATCACCCTCCCCAGGGCAGGAGACAGAAACTCGGCAGGGAGTGAGGCCTTGTCCCTCTGGCTTGGGGAGGGGTGCCGGATGTTCAAGGGGCTAGCCTGGAAGAAGGAGTGGGCTGGTGGGGTTTCTCCCTAAAGAGACGGCAGTGGGGGAGCTGTACTCTTGCGCCCCCAGTCCCTGGGACATGGACGCCTGGGGGCTACAGCCCCTGATGCCCAGCAGGCCCGAGGAGGAGCTGCCCCAGAGCTGAGAGCTCGCCCAGCGCCAGAGTGCCCGTGCATCCCCCATGCACCTGGGGAAGGCAAGAGCAGGAAGCAAACCCGACAGGCAGGGCAGGGGCCTCAGCCATTTCTCAAAGAAAAGCCAGGACGTGCGACTCGCCAGCCACTGCGTGATGGGACAGTGCTTGGTTAACCCCAGAGGCGGCCAACTCGTGCCCGCCTCCCTCCTCATCTCCAGTATCCCTCTCCCTCGGCCCTCCCTTCTCTGTCTCTGCCCTCTTCCCCCAGTTCCTCACGCCCTCTGCTCCACCCCGTGTCCTCCACCCGGCTCTGCAGTCCCAGGAGACCTGACCCCTGTTGGACTCTGCCTGTGCCTGCCCAGGCCCCACCCAGGCATCTTCCCAGGCAGGCCCCCTGTGGCAAGTGGCCTGGCCCCAGCTCAGCAGGGACTGCACCCGAGGGACCTGGGCGAGCTGTCCCATTCCCTCACCAGTGCCTGTGTCTCTCCCACAGAGTCCGTGCCGATGGCCGTCATCATCGGGGTAGCCGTGGGAGCCGGCGTGGCCTTCCTCGTCCTGATGGCAACCATTGTGGCCTTCTGCTGTGCCCGTTCCCAGAGAAGTACGGGAGGGAGACCCGGGATCTCGGGGGGAGGGGGGGCGGGGGGGGGACAGAGAAGAAGGCCAGGCTTAGGCTGCCCCGGAGAGCAAGCAAGCAGGAGTGAGCGAAGTGACCAGCGCTGTGCGCTCCGGGGGAAGGGATGGGTCTGAGGCACTGGGGCATCCGCGGTGCCCACGGGATGTCTGACAGCGAGTGGCCACTCAGTGGATGCTGACCTGGGCTAGGATGACCTTCAGCCTGCAGGGCCACCAGCCAGCGCTTGGGGCCAAACTTACACTCTTGACTGGGAACCGTGCAGAGAACAAGGAGGGGGAAGGCTCGCCTTGACCCTTGCTCTCCTGGAGTTGCTGGTCTAACCAGAAAGGCAGGGCACCCACCCAGGAGGGAAGGCATTTAAGGAATCGCTTTGAACAGATTTTTAAAGGTCTTTAGTCATCCACAGTAAAACTCTAGTGTTTGCACGCTCTTGACAACTGGTGGGTAGCCAGGACTCTGATGTTGCAAGCCATAGACACACATGTGCAAGGCCTAAGTCGGGTGGCAGAGTGGAGGGGACAGTGGAGAGACCTGGTCTCCCAGTCCCACCTCTCCTGCCATGTGACCCTCAGCAAGCGGCCACTCTTCTGGGTTTGTGACGTTCTGTGAACTCCGTGCACACGAGGAATCAGTGGTACAAGTCTGCTTCTTTTGTCCTGCAGCCCTCAGGGGTCATGTGTGTTCCCTGGCATATACTAGGCAACCCTGGCTCCAGAGCCTGCCTGCAAGATGTGGTCTCCAGGCCCCCTCCCTCACAGCCCCCCCGCCCCGATCGGTGGAAATTACTGGGAAATGCATTTTTTTTTCTTTTTTACAGGCAGAGTTAGACAGTGAGAGAGACAGAGACAGAGAGAAAGGTCTTCCTTCCGTTGGTTCATCCCCCAAATGGCTGCTACGGCCGGCCGGTGCACTGCGCCGATCCGAAGCCAGGAGCGAGGTGCTTCCTCCTGGTCTCCCATGCGGGTGCAGGGCCCAAGCACTTGGGCCATCCTCCACTGCCTTCCCAGGCCACAGCAGAGAGCTGGACTGGAAGAGGAGCAACCGGGACTAGAACCGGCACCCAACCCGGAACTGGAACCCGGGATGCCGGCACTGCAGGCAGAGGATTAGTCAAGTGAGATGCATATTTTAGCAACACTCTTCCAACACGCCCTCCCACAGGAAACGGGCTGCAGGAAAGCTTCTGTCATCTGCGCACAGACAAAGCCACTGGACCCCAACGTGTGGGCTTCTGCTCTGGGTGGGAGGTTGGCCGTGGGGACCGTGAGGTCCTTTCAAACAGTGACATTTGTGGTTCCATCGATGGAGAGCCCAGAGCCTGAGAGAGTAGGTCAGAAGAGACTTCTAGAAGGAAGTGAGAATTCTGTAAGATGAGAAGGATCTAAGTCACTACAGTGGACAAACGGATGAGGACAGCCTCTCCAGCCATGGATGAGTGCTGAGCCACGGGCAGTGAGGAGCCAGGCAGCCCACGTGGTTGGCCTTGTCTGAAGCCCGTCAGCCCCAGCATACCCAGGAGGGTGACTGACTGGTTGGGGCAGGGTGGCATATGCTGAGCTCAGGGGCTGGCAGGTCCACTCTGGGAGTGATGGGGTGAGAGGGGCGGGGGGCTGCTGGGCAGCTGGACATCTCAGGCCCAAGTGCCTGAAGGTGACCACTGAACTGGTCATCTCCACATTCCTGCCTTTTGTCCAGATCTCAAAGGTGTCGTGTCAGCCAAAAATGACATCCGAGTGGAGATTGTCCACAAGGAGCCTGCCTCTGGCCGGGAGGCTGAAGAGCACCCCACCATCAAGCAGCTCATGGTGAGAGTGCTGTCCCCGTTCCCACCCTGCCCCGGGCCCCTGCTCCTGGACGGACTTGGGCCTAAAGGCTTCCCGATGTTAGTGGAGCACCTGTCACCATGTACCCGCTACCATAGGCCAAGCACGCATGCCCAGCCACCGTGTGCCTGCTCCTCTGGCCTGGGTGTTCTGGGAGACCCAGAGGCACCAGAGTTGCAATCCCAGGTTTCAGGGAACCTGACTCCCCAGTAGGGAGAGAAGACTTATGCACACATCGCCATACTGTGTTGTCACACAACAGAGGGCCCAAGGCACACACAGCCACAGGGACGATAGCAATCCAGCACATGGCTCTGTCTCACCAAAGTCTGCAGGTGGCAGTAGGCTCCCCAGCAGGGCCCCAGATAGCTCACCCGAAACAAAGACACCCACTCTTCCTCGTGACCCTTCATGGGCTTAACTCACTCAGCTGTCCCAGCAGAAACCTAGACATCTAAGCCAGGAGCTTTGGGTGCCTGCCATGCGTGGTTGGGATATACGCTGGAGTAGGGGCTACAGAGCAAGGAGTGAAGAGCGTGCGCTTCTCTGAGCCTCAGTGCCTTCATCTGTGAAATGGGCATGAAAGTGATAGCATGCAGGGTCACAGCAAGGGGGAAATGGGTAAAACCCTGAAGAGCTTGGAGCCTGCAGAACAGAATAAATGCTCAAAAAAATGTCAGCAACTCTTGCTGCTCTAAAATCCCCCACTAGATGGCAAGCAGCGCACCAACACGGGCCCTGGGGGGCACTCGCAGATGTGGACGGAACCGAACTGCCCCCCCCCCACTATGCTCTCTCTATCCAATTAATTTTAAAGGCCTGTCAATTCCACTTCAAAAAATGTCTCAACTCTGGGGGGAGAGGGGGTCCCCGGTTCTCCTCCACTGTCACTTCCTAACTCCCCTGGACAACAGCAGCCTCCTATGGGCCTCATCATGCTAGGCTGTTGCCACCTTTCTCAGTCCACCCTCCAGAGCCGTGCAGGGAGAGCCCTTCTACAGTACAGAGCCGGTCCTGTCACCATCAGCGCTCCCCCACCGCTTCTGCGGAACGCCCCAGGGCCCGGCGTGCCATCAAGGCCCTTCGCTGCCAGGCAGTGCCGCCTCCCAGCCAGAGCCATCTGGCCTCCCATACGTGCCAGGGAGCTCGCAATTTTTTTCGGCCCTCAAAGGCCTGTGCACGGGCCCTTCCCGCCGCCTGTTGATGTTGTCTGTTGAATTTCACATTCTCCTGTAAGAATCGGTTCGGATGTCAGCCACCCCACAACTTTCCGGGCACTTGGGGCTCCCCATAAGCACTTTGCACAGGCCTCTCCTAGACAACAGGGCTCTCCGTGCCTGTCAGACCGCCCCCCCAATTCCAGCGCTCCTGCTGCCTCGTGCCCCCAGGGCTAACATGGATCCTGATCAGTAGAGGGAGGAAACCACAGCCCAGCCCCAGGAAGGAAAACGTGTCTGTACTTAAGCTTTATCACATCTGTCCTTCCTTCCCCTTGGGACATCCTGATCACCCAGGCTGTGCCCAAGCATCAGGAGACAGAGGGGTGCTGAGGAGTGGGGTGAGAGCAGGGGCAGAGCTCCCTCACTGGCTGAGAGCTCTGTGGCCGGCCTCCCCTTGCAACATCTTCGTGCCCCCTGACCCGACATAGCCCCATCCTCAAGGAGAGGCTGGCTTAGAAATGCAATCTGGGGAGAGAGAAGAACTCCAGCCAGACAGAGCCAGAGCAGGTATTGCAAAATGAAAACCAGCTGTCTCATTAGTGAGGCGGTAATGGGAGGTGTGGGGTGACCCTCTGGCTGCTACTGTGGGGCTCCAAAGAGACCAGGAAAGGGAGTCACAGGGTGGAGGTGCTTCTCAGTCCAGAGACAGGGACCTGGCGCAGACCACGCAGTTAGCAGAAGTGACTCACGGGTTACAGGCTAAGCACCGCTGTGGTTATGCAGATTAACTCACATACCCTCTGTGTGCCTTGGTTTCTTGTCTTACAGCTCACTGTTACTGTCAGTGGTTAGCACTAAGCCAACTCCTTCATTCATTCCCCACAAGCATAACATCTGGAACAGCCTGACTGTACCGGGCACTGGGCTAGGCCCTGGCAGGTCACAGAAGGAAGAGGTTCCATTCCAAAAGCTCTCTGATCCACCTCGCTCTCTGCCAGGCACCAGACCAGGTGCGGCGGGCACCTAAAGAGAAGGAGGAAGCGATCCTCACCCTAGCGCTCTTTGGTATCTATTAAGGAAAATAACTCCAGCTTCCCGGTGGGTCCAAGTCACCGCTGGGAGTGACAGGTGTGGCCCATACGGGCAGCACCTCACGTCATTATTCCTAGCAGTTCCTTGTTGAGGCCTTCACTGAGCCCCAGCACTGGGTGACTGGTGGCTGGGAGGAGCCCGACCCGTGCCCAGAGGTTGGCATTTTACGGCTTTTTATCTCTGGGTCCATCTCGCTGCTGCACAGAGCTGGCTGCACCTTATCATGTCTTAATCTATGTAACCCTGGCCAGAATTTTACAAAACGTGCTCAGTGGCTGGAGATCTCTGGAGGTGATGTCCTGACCCGAATGCAGGAAGTATGGCCTTAGAGACCTGCCCCAGCCCAAGCCACACACACGCCCACCCCCGCCGCCTCTCCTGGACCTCTCTGTCTCTGGGGCAGTGGGGACCAGAAGCAAGGATTCGGTGTGAAGTTCACGGGGACGCTTTGCCTGCTGTCAGTGGCCCAGAGGTGGGAGGGGTGTGAGTGCATGTCCCCATCTGCTCCTTGGGGGCAGAAGAGGCCAAGGCCACCTCCTCCCCCACTGAGTAGCACTGTGGGTTGTAGATGGACCGCGGTGAATTCCAACAAGACTCGGTGCTGAAGCAGTTGGAGGTCCTCAAAGAAGAAGAGAAGGAGTTTCAGAACCTGAAGGTGAGAGCCGCCCAGGCGGCAGGACACAGCCGCTGGCCAGACACAGCTCCCGTGACCCAGCCCCACTTCCGGAGACAGAATGACAGCCACTGGGAAGGAGAAGGGCCTGTGGCCAGCGCAGGACAAGTTCCTGCCCCTTCCCTGAGCTGGGCCACTGCCTGTCCAACCCAGAGGAGGCTGAGCGAGTTAAGGCCGCGTTCCCACAATAATGCTCTTCCACAGCCTCCTAACATTAAATCAATTAAAATTAATTATTCATGTTCAGAACAATAAAAAAATAATTTCTAATGATCTTGCCATATCCTAACACAAGCCCAGTCAGGGGCCTCTGCTTACCGCATCCCATAGCCCAATTCCACCTGCCCCCAGCGCCCCCCCCTACCGTGCACCTGCCAGCCCTCCCCTCCTGGTGTCCCCACCGCTAACCCTCCCCCTCCCCACCTCCTGTTCCCTGTCTTTGTGGCCCTCTCATTCCTCCTCAGCTGCCCCTTTCCTGATCACCCCGCCCTCAGTAACTCCAAACTCAGCTACAGCCAGGCCAGTGCTGGCTGCACCCGGTGACGCCTGTCTGGCTCTCCCACAGGACCCCACCAATGGCTACTACAGCGTGAACACTTTCAAAGAGCACCACTCGACGCCGACCATCTCCTTGTCCAGCTGTCAGCCAGATCTGCGCCCTGCCGGAGGCAAGCAGCGGGTGCCCACCGGCATGTCGTTCACCAACATCTACAGCACCCTGAGCGGCCAGGGCCGCCTCTACGACTACGGGCAGAGGTTCGTGCTGGGCATGGGCAGCTCGTCCATCGAGCTGTGCGAGCGGGAGTTCCAGAGGGGCTCCCTCAGCGACAGCAGCTCCTTCCTGGACACGCAGTGCGACAGCAGCGTCAGCAGCAGCGGCAAACAGGACGGCTACGTGCAGTTCGACAAGGCCAGCAAGGCCTCCGCCTCCTCTTCCCACCACTCCCAGTCCTCTTCCCAGAACTCCGACCCCAGTCGACCCCTGCAGCGGCGGATGCAGACTCACGTCTGAGGATGACACGCGGCGGCGCAGGGAGCGGGGAGGCGGCCGGGGGCCGGGGGGGCCCGGGAGCCGGGGCTGGGGGCGGGGCGCGCTCTGGGTCTCCAGGGACCAGGGGTCGCTTTGCCGCAGGACCCCAGAACTGGTCGCCTCCGCGCCTCTGCCACCACCGTCCTCCAAAGCTCTGATCAAGCACAAATCCGGGTCCCCGGCTGCAGCGCGCCAGAGGCAGGCGGAGGGGCGGGGAACCGGACGGAGGAGGCCCTGAGTGCTCTTCGCTCGCTCGCTGGACACACTCGACCCGGCCCTTTCCTGGAAGGCCCCTCTTCCGCCTGCTCTCCCACAGGCACTAGAGGCAGCTAGAACTTTGCTTTCATGAAACTGCCGTCCACTCTCCCCTCTCCCCGGAGCTCCATCCCTTGCTGCCCTAAGCTCTGCCCCGTGCCTGTGCTCCTAGACAACCTGGGGAGAAGAGACGGGGGTGGGGGGGTGGGGGGGAGTTCCTCCCAGCACCGAGCGCCCCCAGAGACCCCCAGCTCACCCCACCTGCTCTTGCCCATACCTTGGAGGCTGAGAAGCCCCAAATGGCCCTGGCCAGAGGAGCATCCCTGGCACCTCGCTAGCCGGAGCCCACCCCCAATTTGTTTGGTGTTTTGTGTCCATACTCTTGCAGTTGTGTCGTTGGACTTGATGCCTCTGAAGCCTGGCTGGGGTAGGACTGGCCCCATGAGAGCCTGGTGTCCTCTGGGGAGCAGAGGGGGAGGGAGGGAGAGTGTGCGTGCTTGCCCAGACAGCTCCACCGCCTCCCAGGTCACTGCCCCCTGCTGCCTGTGTACCGCCCCTCCCCCGCAGCACAACCGGAGTTAACCTAAGGAGTGTGAGCGCCTCTCTGGCCAGGGCGCTTTGGCGGCTCCTTGGAGAGAGGATGTATTCTGGGAGGTGCCGGGTCGAGGGGCTGGAGGTTTAAGATGAGACTTGCGTTCCCCGACGACCAACGCAAGGGACGATGGCCAAGTTCTCTGTAAGATTGCCTGGCAAGAGAGCCAGCCACCTCATTTCTCCTAGTCACCACGCGAGAATAAACCCGAGGGCCGATACTCCAACTCCTCCGTGCTGTTCTTTTATGCCTGCACAGGAAGAGGTCAGGGACCCCCGGGGGGGGGGGGCACGGGGCCCCAGGGCTGCCTGCCCTCCTGCGGTCTTATTCTCCTGAAGATGACAGCAGTTGGCAGGGCTGGCTGTGCTGCTCACAGCACCTAAGGGGAAACTCCTCTCCTTGGCAATGGGCCTGACCCACGGGGACACACACGGTCAGGACTTGCCACCCACCCGACTCACGCTAGACACAGCTCCCAGGCAAAGTGGCCAGGCTGGACAGTAGCCAGGTCACACTAAGCCTTCCCTCAGTGGGGGTGGGGGCGGGGGGAGCTCCTTCTAGGGGTTCTGGGGGGGAGGTCCTCTCGATGAGTCTAGGCTGCCAAGCACCGTAACAGTCCAGTGAGACTCAAATCACCGAGGAACGGCCCTGTGTGGCGGGAAGCTTGATGTAGTCATGGCAGACGGGCTGGATCAAGAGGGGCAAGTTCAAGTGGAACTCTGAGGGTGGGAGGCGCTGTTCAGCTCTGGACCCTTCCTCTCCATCCCCGTCTGCAGTCCTTAGCCCTGGTGGGCACCCCACCTGGGCAGTCTACTCTTCTGTCCGTACATTGACTCCCCAGATCACAGGTGCTATACGCAGCCTCTGTAGCTTTTCCACACAGGCGACTCTCCCGCTACCATCCTGGCTCCTAGTGCTTTGAATTCTCTGGGCTCCAGGGATATCTTCCACTGGTCCAGGGGGAGGGAGTAGAAACTGATCAAGAAACTACACCCCAGCCCCAGGTTCCGCTCCTGGGACTGTTTTGGCCTGGTATCGTGCCGGGATGCCGGCCTCTGCCCTCTCTGTCCCTCTTTTCATGTTAAGTTTTCCCTTTGCCAATCGAGAGCACAGACCTAAGACCCTGTGTATGCAGCATGCCTTAATGTGGTAGAACAAGCAAGAGAGAGGAGCACTTGGGAAGATCTGTCCATTATTTTCTCTCGGTCTTCCTTAGAGGTGGGTGGACGGTCTACCTCCTGATACTCACTGCACCCTGCCTTGGTCCGACACACATACACACAGAGCTAACAGGATGGAAGTACCTGTTTCTTCCCAGAGTTCAGGGTTATACAGAGTAACTGAAGCATGCGGAAGAAATCTTGTCCTGTAAAACAGAATGAGCCCTTCCCCTCTCTGTCCTGGGCACTCCTGGGGCAGGAATGTGGGCGATCGTGGGAGACGGGCAGAGAGCACCAGAGACGCCGCAAAGACAGCGCCTGACCCCCTGAGTTTTCTCCAATGCACAAATATGGCAAAGAACTGTCAAACGGACACGACGTTGCAAGCATGGGCTTTGCAAGACAGAGGAGCATGCTGGGAGGAAAAAAGCAGGCACAGGGTGCACAGCCTCAGAGGAGCCAAGTGTACAAAGCTCTGCTCACTTCTTGCAAAGGAGTCAGGGCACAGAAAAACCAGGAACGGGAGGGCCTTAAATCAAAGGCAGTGGGAAGCCCTGAATTCCCCTGGGGTTGATGTCTCATTAAATGACGTGAGGGGTTTCCCTTGTGATTCCATTTCACCTCCACTCTAGAAAGTATCCCTATTGTCTCCAGTTGTGGGAATGAGGCTTTACAAAGCCAAAAGGCTTTCCCAAGGTCACGGAGCTTACAAGTGGCAAGTGCGGATTTAAACACATATGCTTTCCACCACACAGGATTTCCAGCCCTCACTGCAAACACAAGGCCTCTGTCATCCTCAGATATGAGGGAAGTGGCTAACAGGAAAGGCCCTCGGCTTGCACCGGCTCAGGGGCTGCCTGGGCAAGGATAAGCCCCCCGGGAAGGTGGGCCTGGCGTGCTCCACAGTAAGTCCCTAAATGACCCGGGAAGCCCACAGCTCGCTGGGAAACAAAGCTGTTCTGTGTATCCAATCACCCCCACCCCTCCCAAGGCCGGGATCCAGTTTTCTGATAGCTTTAAACTTCATTATTGGCTCAGGTCACTGGATGGGAGCCCAGTTTCTAATTCTCAGGCCCACTATCAGTCTGCAAAGACCCGGGCTGTTTCCACCACTCCTCAGCTTTCATGGAACAGGAAGTGCTCTCGCAAGAGGAGCTAAAACGCCACCTCCAATCCATTTCTGACGGAGCCCATCTAAACACAGCCTGTAAGGCGTCGGGCCTCCAGGCCGCCATGGAGCTTCCTGACCAGAAAGGACGGGAGAAAGGAAAACAAACACTACGCAGTCCTTGGGAGAGTTCTCAGAACAGGAGAAGGGAGCCGGCTTCTCGCTTCCTGAGGCTAGGGTATTGGCGACTAAGGGCTCCGGACTGAAACTGCAAAGTATGCATCCACAGCTTCGTTAGCCCTTCCAAATCCACATGTGTTGCCTGCACCGGCAACCAGAAAAAAAAAAAAAAAGACGAGGGAGTCCTGTCATTTGTGTCTTCTCTAGAAACTTCCCCTATAAAGCAAGCATCCAGATGTAAATTAAAACTACCTTCACTGGCATTCAGGTTTCTAATCAAAATGCCATTTAACGGAAACATTTAGACAGGGACCAGTGACACCTCAGCCAACTCTTGAATTTTACTTCCCCTCCAAAAGAGAGCTTTTAAAAGCCTCTTATCGAAGTTGTTTTTGGGAGCTGTAACCACATACCAGCCATTGCAACGTTAGCATCAAAACTAACAGCAGTCTCTGGGAGACGCTGATAAAAGGGCTCTCTGGCTGATAGCGGCTTTCTCATTCCAAGTGAGGCTCCAACTATCTTTTCCCCAGCCTCTGACCAGGTCATAAACTGGGGTGGGAACCAAGAATATTTCTTTCTAAAAATACAGATTCGTTTTCCTGGATGAATACATGTCTGCTGTAGGACCATCAATTCCTTCCTCCTCTAACTGCTCGTCTTCCTCAGTGCAAGCCTGTTCTGCTCCGACAGCTGGTCTTTGACTCACACCCAAAGCTCTCATTACTACCAGCCCTGTAGTTTGACTTCTACCACAGCCCTCCACTTTTTTTTTATTTAATTTATTTGAAAGGTAGAGTTGCAGACAGAAAGGGAAAGGGAGAGGAAGAGAGGAAGGGAGAGACAGAGAGACAGACATACCTTCCACCCTCTGGTTTACTCCCCAAATGGCTGCAATGGCCAGGGCTAGGCAAGGTAAAAGCCAGGAACCAGGAACTCCATCCTGGCTGGGCCATCTTCCACTGCCTGGCCAGAGGTATTAACAGGGAGGTGGAGCAGCAGTGGAGCAGCTGGGACTCAAATTGGTGTGCTTACATGATGTAGGTGTTGCAGGCGGCGGCTAAGCCTACTGCACCAAGACACCAGCCCCAGCCCTGCTCTATCAAAGGCCTTGGTGAATGTTCACTGTGCATGAGATATGCTGAGTCCAACTTGGGCCATCCTCCACTGCTTTCCCAGGCCATAGCAGAGAGCTGGCTCAGAAATGGAGTGGCCGGGTCTTGAACTGATGCCCATATGGGATGCCCGCGCTTCAGGCCAGGGTGTTAACCCGCTGTGCCACAGCACTAGCCCCAAGGGACTTTTCTTAAATCTATTCCCAGTTACACCAAAGGAAAAGTTCTACCTGGGACAGGGGCTGAACAGAGGAAGTGATTCATCCCCTTAAAGATCACCCCCAATTAGGCCAAGACCAGTTCATGGTGGACTAAGTTAAATATGTCCACCTTCACCACCTCCACAAGGAAGTTCAGGAACCAACGCTCTGTTAGTGGATTGGAAAGTCTATTCCTGGGGGCTGGCACTGTGGTGTAGTAGGTTAAGCCTCCGACTGTGCTGCTGACATTCCATATGGGCACCAGTTCAAGTCCTGGTTGCTCCACTGCTAATCCAGCTCCTTGCTAATGTACCTGGGAAAGCAGTGGAAGATGGCCCAAGTGCTTGGGCCCCTGCACCCACGTGGGAGATCTGGATGAAACTGCTGGTTCTTGGCTTCAGATTGGCCCAGCTCCAGCCATTGTAATCATTTGGGGAGTGAATCAGTAGATGGAAGATTCTCTGTCTCTCTCTCTCTCTTTCTCTCTCTCTCTCTCTCTGTAATTTTACCTCTTAAAAGTCTATGCCTGACACCATCAGGCACTGCGTTTCCCGGATACACTGAAAGGTGGCAAATAGAGAACAAGGGATGTAGATACAGATTTGGGAATTTCAAAAACAGAATTTCCAGATAAGGACTTCTACCTGGGTTTTGACTGTTTCTCTAGCTCTCCTGCCATGCAAAAGGGCTACATCATGCAGCATAAAGCCAGAGAGAAAAGAGGACATGGAACTGGAGGGCACCCCCCTACCACACTCCACCTCGGACTCTTCTCAAGGAGAGCAGCTCTGGGCTTAGTAAGGAGAGAGACACATTTTTCGCAAATGAAGACACTGGGCAAGTGTTAAAGTCGGAGATGTACGTAAACAGTATTTTGAGAAGCCTCAGAATAATAGATGGTTCTGGAATAGTTTAGTTCAGTAATTCCAACTTTGATCCCCTACGGCTGTTTCAACATCTGAGCCTTCTCTCATTCTTTCCACCCAACTCCACCCTCCCAAGTCCTGCAAAGCTCTTGGGAGTAAGCAAGGTCTCTGTGGAGGGGCTGGTGTATTTCAAATTGCATCTTCCCTGGAAACCAGAAATGGGGCAAGAAGTAGGTCTCGCTTCCCCAGGTCCGTTTCTTGCCCTAAAGACTTCTGTCAAACTCCCCCGCACTCCCGACACTGGAGTCTCTCCCGCCTGCCTCCCACTCTGCAGCTTCCTGAAGTACAGCCTTGAAATACACGTGGGCTTGCGCTCCCGTTGCTGTGGCCCGTCAGCTGTCGCCCCTCGAGATCTCCTGGCAGCTCGTGGTCACTGCCAGCATGGGAGACACCATCCTATTTCATACCGCTAGCCTGGGAAAAGAGCAACATTCAAAACTTGAAGGATGGTTTCAACCAAAGGCACGGTGCTTTCGCGCCATCATAAAGTCAGAAATCCTAAGTTAAACCTTTGTAACTGGGGGA